ACCCACTGCTGATGGAGGAGCTGGAGCATGGCTAAGTAGGAGGAGAGATTGGGGAAGAATTCTGCTCACTAGAATGGTTTTCCTTTTAAGTTGGGCACCTTCCCCAAGTGCCATGGACTGAATTACTTTTGTTCCTCCAAATTCATATGTGAAAGCTTTGCTTGCCAATGTGATAGCATTTGGAGATGGGGCCCTTGGGAGATAATTAAGCTTAGATAAGGTCATGAGGGTTTCTCTCTCTCTCTCCCTCTCTCTCTCTCTCTCTCTCTCTCTCTCTCTCTCTCTCTTTCTCTCTCTCTCTCTCTGTCATGTGAGGACGCATTGAAAAGTTGGCGTGTATAAGTTGGGAGGAGGGCCCTCGTCAGTCAGTTGACATCTACCGGTAGATCTGGGACTTGCCAGCCTCCAGAGCCGTGAGAAAATAAGTTCCTGCCGTTGAAGCCACCCAGTCTATGGCCTTTTGTTGTGGCAGCCTGAGCAGACTAATACAAATTCCCAAGCTAATTATTTGTCTCCAAATCTACATGTAAATTGAATTAGCTAATTAATACAGGTATAAAGAACCTCAGGATAGGAGCCTCTGGTGGCTTCATTTCCCATTAATTCCCATGTATTCACTTGGAACTCCTGGATTAAACTTTCTTGACTCCTCATTTAACTGGAAAGCGCTCAGACAATTTTATCCAAATATTCCTCGGTCCACAATGCCCTGATATCTTCTTTCTGGAACTTTACACTTCTCTTTCTCTAAATTAGCCTTTAGGGCTGAGGACCCAAGCAATGATCCCATTTTGTGGCCAAGTCCCTGCTTGCATTTCATTCTCTTGTCCTGTTCTCTCTACTATTGTGTTAAGAATCAGGTAGCAAAGTACCGGCTGTCTGAGAAGGAATTCCTGAGAAGGAATTCTCAGGCGTAGAAAGGATTCCAACGGCCAGCTTGTCATTGATGTCAATAATGATGATGACCTCTAACATCGATGACTTCTCCTTCACATGAATATCTCATATAATCCTTACAACAAATCCTCTGAAGTAACGGGGATTATTCTCATTTTATGGAGGAGGGAATCGAGGCCAACAGAAGTTAACTGCTAAAGACTACACAGCCCATGAGTGATGTTAGGATTTGAACCTAGGAATCTAAGTCCAGAGATCACATTCATGACTATTAAGTTACAGAAGGACTCATGGGGCACATCATTTAAAAGGAGCAAAAAGCCAAAGTGGAAGATCCTAAGAGGAAGCAGTGGCAGCCTCAGTTGTATCTCGCTGCAGCTTACTTCTTATGAGGGCTCAATTGCTATGTTTTTTGTGTGTGGAAAGATTACTAAACGTCACAGTTGCCAAGTGGAAGTCTCCTAGTTTATTGCATTTGAATGAGCCATACTTAATACTACACTGAATACCTCTCTCCATCAGAGATAATGTTTCAGGTGGAATTCAGACTATGTGGGGAGCTGACGTTCGACAGAGCCAATAACTCTTACTCAATATTGATGCTAACTCCAACCATTTCAGACTTCTTTGATACTGCTCAATGTTTTGCTTCAATTGTGGTGCCTTTTTGCACACAGCATCCCAACTTGTCGCTTTTATGGCTAGAAGGTACTTGGCCCACATTTAGAGAATAAAGGCCATTTTTGCATCAGCGCCCTTTGATGGGGCTGGTCATGCCTTGTCTCTGGAGAGCAGAAGATCCTCAAACCATTTCCTGCTGCCAGTAGGGTGGTACAAAGAGCTGCTGGAGACAGACCATTAAACAACACAAAGATTCCCCGAAGACAGACTTCAGAACTTGTAGCATCCGCCTTCAGTCATGGGAGGCTGTAACAAAAACATGCTCTTGTGTGTCTGTTTGAACACCATCACAAGGCAACACAGAGGAGCTATTGAATCCATATGCTTTGGGTTGAATGGAAATCTGGGAATCAGGGCAGAGTGCAAAGGGGTCCCCTGCTCTTACAGTCTGAATCCTCTTCCCCTTTTTAGAACAAACCAGCCCTTCGAGAGCACGTGACAAAACAAGCACCTGCCACACTTATTCCAGAAGGAGCCCAGGACTTGCCAGCCAACCCCAACGTGAGCTCTTGCTCTTCTGCAGCTGGTTGGGTGATCCTAGATAAATCCCCACCTCTCTGAACCTCAGCTTCTTACCTATAGGATGGGAAGAAGAATCCCTTTGACACGGGGAGGCCATGAAACGCTGAAATGATGATCATCTGTCCCATGGTAACAAGTTCTCATGGCACATGACTTCGTCTACCATTGCGTTCATCTGCTGCCATAAACCCGTTGTTCCTATAGATGCCCCAATAGACTGAGGATAATGAAAGGAGCCTGTTCCTGCCTCAGTCATCTCTGAGTCATCTCATCTTATACAGAGAAAGTACTCAACAGGATGGTGTGGACTTTCCATGGCTAGTAGGAGTATGGTGGAGAGGATCTCACCTTCAGAACTGCTGGGCGAGACACCAATATGGAAGCTTTAGATTCTTTATTAAATTAATCAGATCTATAACTGGTACAGATATAATTCAAGTCAAGTTTCCCAGGAACATAACACAAGGTGAAGACAGACAGAACACCAGCCACTTACACAGAGCAAGGTTGTCAAATATTTTCCATAAAGAGCCAGACGGCAAACATCTCAGGCTTTGCGAGGGCCCTACAGTCTCCATGGCAACTGTTTGACTCCGCCATTTTGTCATGACAGTGGCCAGAGAGAATTTGTGGGTAAACGAAAGGAAGGGGCTGTATTCTAACAAAGTGTAGTTTAAAAGTGTAGGGGTGGGTTGTATTTTGCCCGTGGGGCGTAAGTAGCCAGCTCTGGAGGCAGAGGTTTGTCCTGTTGCCAGGGAGACTTTATAACACAAGCAAGTCAAGTAAAACCAGTGACCCAGAATGGAAAAGTTGAAATCAATGAGGAAAGGTGATGTTAAGTTTTAAGAAATAAGATGAACAAGGACAAAATTGGGGTGAGTAGAGGTTTCATGTAAAATGCCTGTGGAAATGGCTGAAAACAAATTTTATTCTAGAAGTTCAAAAAGGAAAAAAAGAAGACTGGGGTTTTCGTTGCCTGAAACGGCACCATGAGCCAAAGAGTGCAATGTGGCTTCTTAGAAAATCCAACATGTTCCACATCCCATCAGTGAAAGCAGAGCGTCCAGGGCAGACAAGGGGATAAGCAAGGGGAGTGGGGCTGGGCCAACTTGGTCCCCTCTAGACCCCTCACACCCATCCCGGGCCAGACACAGGGAAATGATCATCCCCCGTCTCTGTTGGGGGGCAGGGGGATGGGAGGGGAGACAGATATTCCAGTGTCTGCTCTGGCAACCTCTGTGCTGTAGTCAAACATGAAAAAGTGGTATTTGAGCCAAGCGCTGAAAGGCGGTCTCCAGGTGGAGAGAGAGGCGGTGGAGGGAGAGGAGGCACCAGAATCCACTGATTCTCTGCCTGGGCTCAGTTCTGCTCTCTTTCCCTTCAATATCCCCATGAAAATAGAGGTTTCTGGAAAAATTGGGAGGGGGAGGCATTAATCATGTTTTCTAAGAAGTCTGAACTTGAGCTCTGTTCTCTGAAAGCTGCGCGCCCCTTCCTGAGAGAGAGAAACTGTGCTGATGTGTTTAAGGAAACATTCGGAGTATCTCAAACGAGGCCATAAAGGGAGGTGAAGTGAAGGAACTAGAAGGTCTACGGTGGGAGTTCTCATAGCCACGGATAATCCCCCAGCAAAGGAACTAATTATGTTTGGAGAGGACGTCTGCGCCTGATAAAATAATTAAAAATAAATTGCTCTCCTTGGAAATGCAAATTACTGAGTGTTAGAGCAATGCTGTCGGCCACTTAGATAATAAGTAGATGTTTTCTCCAGTCTGTTAGGTGACCCTGATTGATTTTTCAATTCTGGCCTGAGCAGCTTTTGAAACAAAGGGAAGGGACCTCAGACCCAGTGGGGACAGCTGTCACCTCCTGGGGCACAGTGGTTGAGTCTTAAACCATGAACAGCCCTCCCTCCCCCAATCATCCTCTTGACTTTTCTTGCCTCTTGCACACCCTGAGGAACCAGACTGGACTGGCCGTCCCCCTTGAACTTCCACGCTCTACTGGCGTGGAAGGGGATAGTGACACTATGGACCCCTCCTCCCCCACATAACTACCCTAGCCCCAGAGTGCCTTCAGGTTAAAGAAAATTAGGTATTGGCTAAGAGCCAAGAGCCAGGGAGGCCTGTAGGGATGGGGAGAAAGGAAAGCTATTAGGCCTTGGGGGGCTGACTGAGACACTGTCGCAAAATTAAAAAAAGAAAAAAGCTTTTCCTTAGCAACGACTCAATAAGTCTTATAGAGAAAAGGGGGAAAACAAACAAACAAACAAAAAACAAAACAAAGAAACTCGGGCTACCAAAGGCTTTATCATTTCATCAAAGAACCAATTTTGATGATGCACCTGCATTTACAGATGAGATTTCTGCCTTGAAGGAAGTCCCACTCTTGTTGGAGGCGGATTTCCTGGGACAGAAAAGCATATCCCCAATTCCTCTCGCCCTGCTGCCATCCCTTTCCCACACCTCTCCCCTGGAGGCTAAGGGTTCCCTGGAGCCAGCGGGACAGGTGGCTGCTGGTGTTGCCAGGGAACCGTTGATGGAAGAGGGAGGAGAGCGGAGGGCAGCAGCCCCTGGGGTTCGCTGTAGGATCTCCCTTCCTCTCCCAGGGGCTGTGGAGGGCAGGCCTCCCCTGCTCACAGGCATTGAACCTGAACCTGTGGGATGTGGTGAATGAAAACGGGATACTGAGGCCATCTAGTTGGTGGAATACAAGAGATAGATATGTAACGGTGCCTGGCACCACACATACATTCGATAACCCGTTTCCTCAGATTCCTGGGGAACTTACCCCAGGCCCCTGCTACAGAGAAGGGCAGAACCAGGATTCAACCACACCTTGGTCTGATCAGTCCCACTGCCCAGCCCACAGCCTTCACAAGGCTGAGCGCCTCTTGGGATTCAGCTCTCTTGCTCCTCCCTCGTGGTGGCGGGCCCCTCGCCAGCTCCCTTCAAGTCCATCCAGAGGGCCTGTTCTCTCTGGGAGGTTTGCCTCAGTGCTGACAACTTCCTGGCCTTCCGGCAGAGGCAGAGGGTGGAGACCAGCAGAAGGAGCACGAGGAAGGGGCAGATGAATAAGAAATAGATGAATGATGCCGACGAGCAGATCCTGGAATGAAACGAGGGCTCTGCCACCAAAAGAGAGAAACAAAGAGGATCATTAGTCCCCCCCTTACTTGTGCTAACCCATCTTACACACGTCTGGAAGTCACTGTAACAGGCAAACACATGTGAAAATAACACCCAGAGAGCAGCCGGCCCCTTGAGTCCCATGTGAGGAGCCAGGGGTAGGGGGAGGGGGACAGTGTGGGAGCCCAGAACTCCGAGGGTGCTCTTCCACCGACCCCCTCACCCAGCAATTTCCAACCACCGCAGGCTGCCATGGCCTACTTAAAGCTGGCAGCCAGAAGGAAAAGCAAAACAAAAAAAGAAAACCTCTCCTTTAATCTTCTTCCCTCAGAAAAAGATAATCTATAATTCAACCCTCGTTCTCAACTCTGCTGCCGGTCCTGATGTTTTCACTGAGTTATTCCCATGGCTGTTGCCTCCTAATCCACGCGCCCCCCCCCCCCTCTCACATGCACAGGCCTCATAAAATAGAACCTCGAAGTTGGTCTCACTCCCCAAGCCCCCTCCATTCAGCTCCTTTCCTGGCATGCACTCTGCACCCTAACCCTCTGGTGGTCCTATCGTCTCAGACACAGTCTTTTTCTATCCTCTCCCACTAAGGCCTGTTCAGACCTCTTAAGTCCTCTTCTAACCACCTCTTTTGTACCATCACAGGTATGTCTGATGGTGCCATCTGTTTCTACAGCCCCTACAGTGCTAAGCACACGTGCTTGATAACTTGTGCTGATCGGAATTAGCCTGGGTTGACTGGGGCAGAGGATACTATATATAAAGGCTTGCTGAAGATATCCCATCCGCAGCTGCAGTCCACGGGGAAGCGCTGTCAGCAATAGACACGTGGAGCACATACATGCAATCCCAAAGCAGGCCCCGGCCACACAGCCAGGGAAGCAGACGAGAGGACCACATCCCCCAACCTCCAGGCTCTAAGACACAGGACCTTGAGTTACTAGGTAAGGACTAGGCTTACAGTCTCTTGATGCAGAGACACATTTTATGAGACACCATCTGCCGAATGTAGCCTTCAGCTGCATGTGCTTATGACAGGATATTCAAAATCAGGGCTGTTCTGAGAATCTGGTGCTAACAGTAGCTGTGCTTTCAAGGGAAGATTGTAACAACATAGGCAACTTCTTTTTTTAGAAGGTAAGCTATAGGATTCTTGGGATGTAAACTCTTTTGAGATGAAAACAGCAAATTCCAAGATCATTTTGATAACCACATACGACAAGGATTTCATTTTTGGCATTACTGATGCATTTTGCTCCTTGAAGAAAGCATCTTTGTTGGAAGTTAGGAATCTAGACCCTGGTCCAACCTCTGCCCTGGGAACTCTAGGCATCTTTTTCTTTTTAAAAAATATATTTTATTGATTTTTTTACAGAGAGGATGAGAAAGGGATAGAGAGTTAGAAACATCGATGAGAGAGAATCATTGATCAGCTGCCTCTTGCACACCCCCTATGTGCCCACAACCAAGGTACATGCCCTTGACCGGAATCGAACCTGGGACCTTTCAGTCCGCAGGCTGACACTCTATTTACTGAGCCAAACTGGTTTCGGCATCATGCATCTTTTTATTTGGTGCAGCGCTTTGTCCACAGGTCATTGATAGAGACTGATGGATGAATCAATTAGGAGAGTGGATTCCACACACAGGGACCCAGGGGCGTGCCTGTCCTCTTCTTACACAGGGCTGACAAGCTGCAGGTTTTCATTGTCTGCATTTTCTCTGGTCGCCTTTAATTCTCCACCTGAAATTTGGTTTTGGGTTCTGAAAAGGTGGGCAATGAAAATGCTAGATTTTGAATCCTTCATCACCCTTCTCCACATCCTATCTAACCTCTCTCGAAGGCCATGCTTCATTACAGCAATCCTTGCACATCTTATGTGAATAGATTTGAAGGCATTTGGTTAAGAAGGACAGATAGCCTTGGCCGAGTCGTTCAGTTGGTTAGAGCATCGACCTTATATGCCAAGGTTGTGGGTTTGATCCCTGGTCAGGGCACATACAAGAATCATCCAAGGAGTGCATAACTAAGTGAAAAACAAATCTCTATCTCCCTAAAGTTTTTAAAAATTTTTTTAAAAAGAGGAGGAGGAGGTACAGACAGAGATGCTGAAGAGACCCAAGGCTAAGGGCCTCGGTACTTCATACTACCCCAAGAGGTGACTGAGCACCTACTACCCCTTGAAGAACTGGGTTCAAATCCTGGCTCTTTCACTTATCATGACTGGCATTGGACAAGTTATTTATCCACTCTAATCACTAGGGTCCTCGTCAATCAAATGGGGATACTAATTTCTAGAGTCGCAATGAGGTAATGCATAATAAAGCATTTAACATAGTGCCTAGCGCTTTTGTTGAGTCAGCAAGGAATAAATATCAGCTGGGATGCTACTAAGAAAGTTAGAAAAATCACAGGCAACTTTCTCCGGAGGCATCTGAGAAAAAACAGGCCTGTGCCTGCTGATTCCTCTCTGGGGCCACAGGCGTGGTTCTGTGCTCCCATAGGCCAAGTCTCTTTCTTAAATCTGAGTCCTCAGCCCCAGGATGACATTCTCTGAGAGCCACATGATTACTTAGGAGACTGGCTTCCTTTTCCAGTCACAGGAAGTAGAGAACTGGGAGGTGGGAGTCCACAGTTACCACGTGTCACTTTTGCTAGGATGGTGGTGTGATGGTGGGGAGATGGAACCAGCACGTAGAAGGTGAAGAGCTCTGGTACTTGCTTTTTCTGCCATTGAGATGCTAATATTCCATGTGAAGGCACTGCCAGGGGGCTTGACCATCTTAATGGGGAGGATGCTTCTCCGCTTAGAGCAGTCTGCCATCCAGGACGGCAAAGTGGGCTCTTCACAGCACCGAATCGGCCACCAGCTAGCAACCATCAGCTCCTCTGCTTCCAAGTGACCTCTCCTGGGAGGACGGTGTTTGCTCTGGATCCTGCAGTCACCCTTCCCCGCCATCTGTCTCTCACCCCTATCTGGATTAGAATTTAGTGACATTCAAAACCATTAAGGTTTGGCATTTTGAATTAATCCAAGTAAGTACCCAAAGCTCAAAGTACAAGACGTGTAAGACTGAGCCAAAAATATAATGAGAATATTTCATCAGGAAGTTTAATTTATAACGTGCTCCTACCTACAGCCAAACACGTCACAAGGAACATTGGGGGAGGGAAAGGTGCGGGACAATCGGGGGGCTACCAACTCTTCCCCCACCCTAACGAGAACTTGGGCAATTGACTGCCATGTGTGGCTGTGTGGGAGAGCTGGCTCCTGCCAGGAAATAAAAGTAGGGTTGGGTAACCTCTCCCAAGTTCCTCCCCCCAAAAGTGAACACCTGGCAGCAGCCAACACAAGACTGGCTCGCTCATTCTTTCAACCACTTGGAGAGCGCTGAGTGGCAGGCCTTGGAGGCACGGGGGTAGCATCGATAAATAGCATGGTCTCTCCAGAAACTTCAGGGGGGTAGGCGCACATATCTCCAGTGAGGATCCATTTTTTAAAAAAGTATATCTTTGTCCAAATAAAAGCTTGGAAATAGTAACAAATACCATACTTCGACCAATAATCCAGTCCCCAGAAAGCCCTATAGTCTTGTCCATTAGTTAATCAAAGAGAATTCTCTAGAACAGTGGTTGGCAAACTGCGGCTCTCGAGCCACAAGCAGCTCTTTGGCCCCTTGAGTGTGGCTCTTCCACAAAATACCACGGCCTGGGCGAGTCCATTTTGAAGAAGTGGCGTTAGAAGAAGTTTAAGTTGAAAAATGTTGGCTCTCAAAAGACATTTCAATCATCGTACTATTGATATTTGGCTCTGTTGACTAATGAGTTTACCGACCACTGCTCTAGAATCGTACATCCATACCTGGGGTCTGAGGGTGAGGTTCAAAGACTGAAGCCTCTGCCTCTGCTTAGTGAAAGCTAAGGAAATAAGATGGAGAAGAAAGTGCAAGATCAGTTTCCTCAGGAAAATGCCTCCTAATGTCTCTGCCTTCACTGGAACCATGCGCTCCACAGTTTTGCTGGCTGGTTCCAGACACCTGATGATGTCACTCCCCTGCTTGAACTTGGCCAGTGGCACTCCATAACTTCTATGGTAAAGTTCACTTTCTTTAGCTTCGTACTTCAGACACGTGTGAGATCTGCACCTCCCCATCTCACTAACCTCATCTCTTGCCATCTTCGATTGTGAAGGGACACTAAGACCACTCAATGTCTAACATTTCCTTTCCAGGGATCATCTGTTTCAGACCTCACACTTGTTTGATAAAGATGCCACAGAGATGTGATTTTTAGTTATGTCCTACAGTATACACTTTTTTACAGTTAGTATCTAGTCCACTGCGAAAAGTGCTGACTCGGCAGAGCTTAGGGATTTCCATGGGAAAATGTATAGGGAATGTGCTCAGGGGTGTGGGACGTCTACAAATGTGGGGATGGAAGAAAAGCTGAGAGGAAGAAAAATTCTGCTTGGAGACTTGGGAGGAGAATTCACTGAAGAATGGGCAGGGGAGAGGATGATGGAACCCCAGGGAACCAATCAGATAGCTTTGACTTCCGTTCTAGAAGCCCTGCTGGGAGAGCTGGGAGGAAGCCACCTATCCCTACTCCTGAGAAACTCCCATTTGTCCCCAGAAGCCTTGTCCCTCCTGAGGAGTGTCACAAAAGCCAGCAGGTGTCCCAAGAATGTTATCTCTATCCATCCTTAGAACCCTTGCTGTGGTAGGGAACCAGGACCACACCTCTGCGCCTCCCAGGACCCTTTTCTATAGTCTGTTTAGCTCGTTGTTCACCTCTCACCTTCTCCTTAAATCCCACCAGGCCGAAGTGGCTCAGAGAATGCGCTAGCTACAGCATCTGCCAGCTCATTGATCGCCAGGGAAGATTTACTGGTCTGGCTGGAGACATTTTTGCTTTCATTAACAAATGCTTAATAAATGGCTATGATATGCTTGGCACAGCACTGGCTGGAAGGGTGCCCTCTGCTCCCCCAGCGTCTCTAATAGATCCTCCCTTCCCCCAACTGATGGACGGAGAATGACGTAAACTCCACCTGCAGCCGGAACATTCCTGAGCACCTAACCAGGCACCTGATGTGGACTGTACATTGAACCAACAATCAGCACCTGCCAAATACCTAAGCCCCCGATTCCTAAGTCCCTAGGTGCCTAATCATGTGCCTTACATGGAACCACCAACCAGCGTGTGCCGAGTGCCCTAAGCCCCGTCCCTTCCCTTTCCTCCCCTCAAAAGGCGTGTTCCCCACCAGCATACGTGCTCTTTCTCCTTTGGAAGGCAGCCCAGCAGGTGTCTTCTCCTAAATAAAGCTTGTGTCCTCGTCTCCGGCCCTCGGTCTCATCTTCCAGTCTCTTGTTCCACATCCCTCCTGAACTTGTGGACTCCGCTGGATAGGACGGCCTTCCCACACCGAGAGGGGCCACCCTTTGGCTAACGGTTTTCAAGGAGCTTGCCTCCCTGCTGGAGCCTGTAAGCAGGTCCCTGAGGTGCACTTCCTCCTCTGAGGCCTTTCCAGGCGCAAACAGGAGGGGCCCACCACCTGTCTGTCGCCATCCAAGACCTGGTAGCTGGCTGGGCACACAGAGAGATAAGAAGCCTGGCTCTTGCCCTGACGGGTTTGGCTCAGTGGATAGAGCGTCGGCCGGCAGACTCAAGGGTCCCAGGTTCGATTCCGTCAAGGGCATGTACCTTGGTTGTGGGCACATCCCCAGTAGAGGGTGTGAAAGAGGCAGCTGATCGATGATTCTTTCTCATCAATGTTTCTAACTCTCTATCCCTCTCCCTTCCTCTCTGTAAAAATCAATTATATATGTAGAGAGAGAAGAAGAAGAAGAAGAAGAAGAAGAAGAAGAAGAAGAAGAAGAAGAAGAAGAAGAAGGGCAGCAGCAGCAGCAACTTGGCTCTTGGTCATTAGGAAAGGGTTTTCCTCTTTGTTTTGTTTTGATTTTGATGCAGGGAGCATAGATGCAGCTGATATTGGTTCGACCAGATCAAAGGTAAACTCAGCAGGTCCCTCTCCTTCATCCCCTCCCACCCTGCCCATCAGCCTTCTGAGGTTCAAGATCAGCCAGGGGGTAAGGATGTCTGCTTCAGACACGCTCCGGCCATTTAGGGATGTAATGCTGAAGGCTTTTCTGTTTGAGATGGGAAGCAGGAGCCGAGTCCCCTGACATTTCAATGTTTACGCAAAAAACTCAAGTAGACCTTGTCTGTCCAGATACGTTACTACTGAGAGACAAGATAAAGTCACTGCGTTAGGGAGTCTGGAGTTGCTTTTAGCTTGGAGAAGGAGCCGACCACAGCTGAGAGGGAGAGGAGAAGAGGGGGGACAGAGGGCTTCCTGCCCACGAGCCAAGCCAGGGTGACCCCGCATTACCTGAGGGCAGCACCGTGAGCACCATAGGCTGCGACTCATCCGACGACTTGATGACCCACCAGCTGTGGGTTCTCTGGAGCTGCCACTCGGCCACCCGGCACCAGTACACCCCAGCATCCTCCATCGCCACCCTGTGAAGTGTCAGGATGAAGTCTGTGGGGGACGCCCGGTGACAGTGCAGGTGCCTCCTGAGCTGCTCCTCACTGTACTCCAGCAGGCCGTCATGCTGCAGATGCACCAGCATTTCGCTTCCAGAATGTTTAGTGATCCGGTACCACATCACAGAGAACAGGGAGGCCGAGCCGCCCTCGCTCTCCAGGCTGCAGTGCAGGGCCGCCTCTCCGTGCTCCGTAGCGTTCTCTGTCCGGTGCACTTTGGTGACACGGACCCTGGCTCCTAGGAAACAAAACGGCGGCACGTTAGGGAAGAGCCCGGACTTGTAGACCAGGCATCTCCTCTGAAGCACCTCGCTCTCCTGAAGGAGATCCAGTTTATCATCTGTAGGCATCGGGTCCTTCCTCTTCAACACTTTCCTTTGACCTCTGTCCTTCTCCCATATTTGCAAGAACATTCTCTGCTATGAGTCCCACCAGCCACTTCCATCCTTTAGCCAGACCTCTTGTCCGCTGCACCTGCCGCTGAAAGCCACCCAGCTCCGGTGGGTGTTCTGCCCTGAGGCTTTTCCTTTCCCCTGTCTGTCGCCCATCTCTTCTGCTTCTCAGGGGGACCAGTCAAAGCTCCGCTTCCTCCTCCCTCTCCCCCATTCCCTCCAGTCAGGTATCCAACCTTGCCCTGCCTTCTTAGCAAGTCACCCTCCTCCCCCCACACCCGGGGATCTCTTGGGTGGAGACACAGGGAAGGAGGAGGGAGGTGGTCTGAGAGACTGAACATTTTTGTACAAGCGTTAGAATACTACTCAAGAAGACCATTTACCTTATTGGATTAGACTAAGTTTTCAACAGATTTTGACATTTACTTAACATTTCTTTCCTCTCTCATCAGGTAAAAAGTTGGAATGAAGGCTAGCGTGGTTACAAACAAAACAAAGAAAGCCTAGTACATACTAAATGTTAAACTCTACTGCAAACAAATTTATTAATCTATCTTTAAAAGAACAACACTGTGTGGCGAGGGCCAGGGGCCAGGGGCAGGCTAGAAGGGGACAATGGGGGAGGGGAGTCATCAGTAATATTTTCAACAATAAAGAGAACACAAAAAAAGAACAACTCTGTCTAATCCTGGATTCTTTTTTTAGTTACCATTCTTCACCTGTCCTTCCCTGGATGGCAAAGCATGTGAAATACTAGCTTATGTGATAAACTAACACTTATCAGCGTCCTCCCTTTCAGAGTCCTCCCTGCATTATTGCAGCCAGCCCTCCGATGCCACCACCATGCTCTGGCCAGGTCCCAGGAAGGCCTGATTCCCTGCTCCGGTCCTTTCTGTGCCCTCAGTGGTCTTTGTCACTGACATCCATTTTCTTCTCGAGCTCCTCTCCTCTTCTGATTTCAGAGAAACTGTCCCTCTTACAGTGCGGGCCCCGGGCCTCTTCCTTAACCCACTCCTGACACCAGGGTGCTCAGCTGGCCACTGTGGCAGCCACAGTGTTCTCTGAATATGTTTGGTTGGACACTCTCTGGATTTTAAAAGAATTTGAACATCCTCAAAATGAGCCATCTCTCTTTCTCTCTCTCTCTTACACACACACACACACACACACACACACACACACACACAATTTTAGGGCTTTCTTGCTACCCAGCGACTGGACAATGCTGAGCCCACATACTTGAATGAAAGCTCTGCCTTGAGCTGAGCAGTGGCTGCCTCCTTAAAGGGACATGTGCACACTGTCAAGATTTGGCTTAGACAGCGGGGAGGAAGGGATGCCAGCCCCGCAGATGGAGAATGCCGAGTGTGCACGAGCTGGAGGGACGGCAGAGAGGCTAAACTGCAATATAGGACATACTGAGTGTGAGGGGCTCCGAGGCGGCCAAGCAGCAATGCCCAGCAGGCCGCAGGCTACAAGCCCCGAGCTCAGGAGACAGGGCTAAGAATAGAGGCCCGGAGCCAGTTCTCTGAAGGTGGCAGCTGGAACCAAGGCAGTGTTGATGAAGTTCTGAGGAGAGCAGGGAGGAAGGAGAAAAATGGGCCCAGGATCCATCCCTGAGCAGCACCCACGTTAGGCAGGGAGGGGAAGGAGGGTCTGAAGAACAGCGAGAAGGGGAGCAGAGGGCTCCCTGGGGCCCTGGTAGACGGTGAGCTCCTTCAGGCAAGAGCTGCGCCTTCTATCTGCGTGTTCCTAACCGCCTCACCCACAGCGATGCTCATCACCATCTCGCTGTTGATGTTACATCAGAAATAGAACTGTAAGTGCCAAAGCAGATGAACTTCTCTGCATCGTGCCGTTGGGTCTCGCCCAGTTCCCATCCCTTAGCCGTGACACTCAGTGAATGTTAATCAACACTGGGGTGACCAACGGAAGGCTGAGAGGTCTCCTCAGCCCTGCCCACGCGCGGACCCCAGCTCTCTCAGACCAATGCAACGGTGGAACTCCTATTACATTTTTAAAGATCTCCCGAGGAAGAGGCGATCCCCTCAGCAAGCCATTCCAACGGCTAACTACTCTTCCTCGCCTTCTGTTTAGGCAGCCAAATGTTGAAAAGCAATTTCTGCACACATCCCTGCAGAGTTGTACAGTTTCTGTTCACAGTGGGAGAAATATGCTTCGTATTACTCTTTCTCTGCCAAATTACAATAGAGCCCCACCGGAGTGACACAGGCTTGTTATTATACTAGTAGAGATCTGAAGATACGGTACCCTGGGTAGCTGCCTGGACCAGGCTGCCAGGCTGCTCGACAAACCAATCAAAGGACTCTTGCTCCCCTACGAGCCCCTGAATCCTCAGATTGGTTCACCTTAGGTGACCCTCTCCACCCTCCCCGGCGGGTTCCTGGGTCCTACCATCATTGTGTAGGTACAGTGTTTCCCAAAGTGTGGTACGCGTACCCCCAGGGATACGGGAAGAGTTTGGTGAGGGTACGCGTTGCACAGCAGTTTGGTGGGGATATGCACTGCACCATGCTTAGCCTAATTCTACGTTCTCATGAGTACAGCATTATGAAAATTATAGAAGGGGTACACATATGTCAAAAGTTTTGGAAACACTGGTGTAGGACATTATTCCTAGGACTCTAGGTCCCATTTTTACCTTCATGGGATCAGTCTGAAGAACAGCTATCTGAGAGAAGATGACAATCCTACAGAAAGACGTGTGAGGACGCTCACAAGCTTACCTGTGAGCCTGAGTTTCAGTTCTGTCACGCCCGATGTCCCTTCGCCAAGCTTGTACCCGGTGCCATTGGCAGACAAGAGCCACTCCTGAACCACGCAGCGGTATCTGCCCCGATCGCTGTCTTCCACGTTCAGGATGTGTAGCCGGAACGTGTCAGGGGAAACTTTCTCGGCGTGGAATTTCTGTTTTCTCCGAGGGGTATGAAATCCATCCCCATATTTGACAACGTTGGTTTGGTCCAGCTCCAGGATCCTCAGCCAGGACGCATTAGAGGAAATGGGTGAGAAGTACCAAGTAACAGCCAGCGGCAGGTGCCCAGTGGTCCTGGATAAGACGCTACATTCCACGGCGACGTTGGAGTTGATGGCAAGCTCTTGGACTTGACTGCTGGAATTCACAGTTAGCTTGCTCTCTAAATTAAAAGGGTGGAAACAGATACATGTTTTACTTTGTTGGAAGACAGAATTTCAAGGCAGAAGATACACATGAAGAGGCCAACTAGAGCCATACCACAACATTCTTCAGCGGTGTGTAAACTCTCTCTCCAGCAGCCCTACTGACGGCTCACTCAACCTCCGACAACTCACTGCCTGACAAAGCGGCCCGTTCCATCTTCAGACAGTTCTGCCACTAGAAAATTCTTTCTGATATCAAGGTGAGTTTTTACCTTTCCACAACCTCCATCCCCTGGTCCTGCTTTTACCCTTGCCCAGGGGGAGGGGACAGGTGGGTGGGACAGTAAGGAACAGTCATACAGAAAAGCCCAATCTCTTCCACAGGATAGCTAGCGCCTCAGTGTTTAAGCACAGACATCTTCTCTTCTGTAGCCTTTATAGCTCAAAGGGAGAGAGAGTTCTTTGTGTGTTCACTAACCAGCGTACTCCTGGATTCACCATTTGCCGGTCTAATGGTATCTGCCTTCAAACATGGGTAAACAAAAGGAAGTTGTATGTGGGCTATTAAAATTGTGCGTCTCAAAGGAAGAAACTCATTGAATGACAAAAAGAGAAAAGATTTATATGTCTCTTTGCAGCCACTCAGCTGTGGGAATATCATACACATGGAATCAACTATCCTATAACCCCAACAGCTTTTCTGCTTCGTCAGAAGGATGAATGATAAAGCCTGGCTTCCAGATCTTATTCTAACTAAATGTTGACATTGCTGATTCTACTTTTGTAGCTGCTTATTGGTGCTGGTCTTCCTTCAGTAAGCATGTATTAGGTACATACTATGTTATGTGCTAGACGAGTGGTCGGCAAACTCATTAGTCCACAGAGCCAAATAGCAACAGTACAACGACTGAAATTGCTTTTGAGAGCCAAACTTTTTAAACTTAAACTAATGCCACTTCTTCAAAATAGACTCACCCAGGCCGTGGTATTTTTTGGAAGAACCACCCTCAAGGGGCCAAAGAGCCGCATGTGGCTTGGAGCCACAGTTTGCCGACCATGGTGCTAGACTATTCCAGGCTCTGTGGATACCTCCCCTCGGTGGGTTCACAGCCCAGAGAGAAGGACTAGTACAAGGACAGGGGCGTAGAGCTTACAGGATTGTGTCACCCAAGCAGGACAGAGGAATGCAGGAGTAGCCACCAAAGCACAGCCCAGGACCACCTCACCCAAATGCGGGAGTGAGGGAAGATTCCTGCAGGAAATAGCTCCAAGCTAAGTCGTAAGGGTTCCTAGGAATTAGACTGATGGAGAAGGAGTTAGGAAATCCTATACAAAAGAAGCAACTGGAACAAAGACTTTGAAAATGAGAAAGAATATAGCGTATTAGGGGAACTGCAAGTAATTCAGTGTGGCTGGGGTTCAAATTCAAGACGGAACGTGGAAGGAGATGATGCCGGAGCGACATACAATGTACCAAATGATAAAGGAAGGACCTTGCGGGTTGTACTATGGGAGTGTGGACAGTGGTGAACACGGAAGAGATGTGGTTGACTCACTGGTGGGTGGTGGGGACATAAAGAACAATGGAGGAGAAGTAGCTTTGGAGGGATGGTAATGGTGCGTTTATGTTTTGACATGTTGAGTGTAGACATGTCTTGGCGGCAGCTACACAGACGTGTCCGGAGATCGGAAGAGAAGTCTTTCAAAATATTGGATCTGGGAGTCGGCAGGACATAGGTTGACTCCAGGGGTAGGAATAAGCCCACTTCTGGAGAGTGTACAGAATGAGAAGAGAGCAAGCTGAGAATGCAACCCAAAGGGAATAATCAGCGGAGGAGGAGAATTCTGCAAAACAGAGTGAGAAGGAGCAGTCGGAGTGTCAGGAGGGAAACGAAGAAAATCTTGTAAAACGAGGTCAAGAAAAAAAGAGAAGTTTCAAGAAGAAAGGCTTGGCCAACAATGTCAAAATCCACAGAAAGGACAAGTACATTACGGCATGAGGTAATCAACAAGGAGACGGTGATCGTTACCAAAACCATTGCTGAGCAGCAGACAGAACAGTGAGAGCCACGCCATTGGAGCATCTGCTGGGTGTGTCAGGCACTGTGCTAGGCACATTATGGATGCCACCGCCTTCAAATTGCACATTAGCCATTTCCAGGTGAGCTAACAAGGCTTGGGCAGGTTAAGTGACTGCTACCCAGTACTTGTCAGACCTAGGTGACCTCAAAGGCTCTCGAACATTCTTCCCTAAGAGAACGAAAGGCATGAAAGAAGACACGGCAGTCTCGACACGGCAGAACTTGGTCTGGGTTTGTCTTGCTTTTAACCTCTATGCTCTATTAGGAACTGACAAGGTAAATTATATTCGCCAATAACCATAAATTCTCTAACTCATCCATCAACCCATTAAAAATAAGTGGATAAATATATTCTGATGACATTTACATGATCCACACCCTAGCGGTCCCTGCTGTGCCATGTGGCACCCTTGGGTTGCTGGCAGCTGGGGACTTGTGGAAAATGGAGAAGGGGCATGGAGGAACCGTGATTATCAGTCAGTGTGGAACTATTTCAAGGTTTTAACAGCGAACATGGTCATTTCTGTGCATACTAACACAGGGTTTGCCTAGATATTGCTTCTATGTGGTGCTGACATATGCAGTACAAACACAGGGAGAGGCATTTCATGTTTTAATTCTATAACTTACCCAAAGTGGAAATAAGTATTTTCTTTTTAAAGCAGGGATTGGCCCAGCTGATTTGTTCAGTGGTTAGAGCATCAGCTCACGCACCAAAGGGTCCCGGGTTTGATTCCCGGCCAAAGGCACAGACCTCGGTTGCAGGTTTGATCCCCCGCTCCAGTCAGGGCATGTGTGGGAGGCAACCAATCAATAGTGTGTGTGTGTCTCTCTGCTCTATCTCTCTGTCTCTCTCCCTCTCATTCCCTTCCATTCTCTCTAAAAAAAATAAGGGAAAAAAATATTCTCAGGTGAGGTTAAAAAAAAAAGAAAAAGCAGGGGTTAATTCAGAGTGGTGGTTACCTGGTAAAGAGATGACTATCCTCAGGGGGTGAGAGCTGGCAGAAGCCCTCGCCGGGCCGTTCGTGGGCAGGGCATTTCTGTCATAAACCTCCACCGTACACTGATACACTCCCGCCTCTGCCTCGGTGGCATCATGGATTGAGAGTTGAGAACGGAACGAAGACTGTGAAATCTTTGTCCTCCTTTGGAACTGGGACGGGAAGTCCCCCCATTCGATCGTGCCATTATGAGTGACTCGAACGAGGTGGTGAGAGACTTGAGAGCCAGCTGGCTGGAACCGCCACGTCACGGTGAGCGGCACCTGGAGGTCGGAGTAGCCGGCCCCCACGATGCAGGCCAGGTCCACGGTGCTGGTTAACTTCACCTGCGGCTGACGGCTCATCAGACTGACGTGTAAACTGGACGCTGTGGGCAGAAATGCAAAACGCAATTTGTATTTATGTTGATCAAACCCGAGTCCAGACCCGCTGAGCTTCCTAGGCACCGCCTCTGCACACGGGACCATCATTCATCCCCGGGGAGTACCAAGTATTTGGGGGGTAAGATGCTGATTCACAGTACAGTCTGTCCTGATCGCTGACCTCCGTTTTCCCACGTTGAGTCTCTTCTCAGAGCATCCTCAGCAGCGACAACAAACAGGCAGTGTCTGTCCAGCCGGCTGCTCAGACAGCTGCCCCTGAGTCGGTGGCTGGCCCCCTTCCCTTCCTCCCACCCACGGTGCAGTACACCCTTCGGCACATGCTCGGCAGACTGTCATCCAGGGCTGCAGCTGTCAAAAGCTGAGTGTACGGGACTCAGCTCCACTTAGCATATCTCTTCTGTGAGTCTACTCCCATTCCCAGGATTTCCTTTTTAGCCTTGAATGACAACTTACAAGTTGTATCTTAAAGATGATCTTGATAGCCCTAGCTGGTTTGGCTCAGTGGATAGAATATCGGCCTGTGGACCAAGAGGTCCCAGGTTTGATTCCGGTCATGTACCTTGGTTGCGGGCACATCTCCAATAGGTGTGCAGGAGGCAGCTGATTGATGTTTCTCTCTCATTGATGTTTCTAGCTCTCTATCCCTCTTCCTTCCTCTCTTTGGGAAATCAATAAAATATATTTAAAAAAAGAGTTTGATAAAATTAAAAAAAGAATATATTAAAAAATAATAATAATAATAATAATAAAAGATGATCTTTGCCGAAACTTGTTTGGCTCAGTGGATAGTGTGTTGGCCTGCGGACTGAAGGGTCCCGGGTTTGATTCCGGTCAAGGGCATGTACTTGGATTGGTGGCGCATCCCCAGTGGGGGGTGTGCAAGAGGCAGCTGATCGATGTTTCTCTCTATCCCTCTCTCTTCCTCTCTGTAAAAAATCAATAAAATATATATTTTTTAAAAAAAGAGATGATCTTTATAGCACTGACCAGTTTGCTCAGTGGATAGAGCATCAGCCTGTAGACTGAAGGGTCCTGGATTCAATCACACTCAAGGGCACGGACCCCGGTTGCAAGCTCCATCCCAGGCACGTGAAGGAGGCAACCAATCAATGTAAGATTGATGTTTTTCTCTCTTTTTTTTTCTCCCTCTCCCTTCCATTCTCTCTAAAAACCAATGGGAAAATATCCTCAGGTGAGGTTTTAAAAAAAGAAAGAAAGAAAAAAAGATGGTTTTTATAAAGAGGCGTGAACTTTGGAGATTAACTGACAGACATGGTGACCAAAGACTATGCTCTGTGTGCTGGTACACGCACCTTCACTAGGGGACTCAGGATGAGACCCCATCGGATAGCACCCCATCTCACTGCAAGAGGTACTGATGATTTCAGAAAAGGATTCCTTTGACCCTTACCCAGAGATTTCACAGCGATGGACATCTTCTGCGCCCAGCTCAGACCTCCGGCCTGGCTCCGGCTCCTCTCGAACACTCTGCACTCGTAGGTGCCGCTGTCTGTGACCGCGGTGGAGGTGATCTCCAGCCGAAAGGTGGCCCAGTCCGTCTTCTCCAGCCTGGCACGGCCGTGGTGAGTGGGTGTCCCATAGGAGGCACCCAGCTGCACGGTGCCGTCCTGCTGCATGCCAGCCACAAACACTGGCTGCGTCTGGCCCTGCGGCACGTGCCACCAGCTCGCGGACAGGAGACTCTCAGCTCCGTCTGCCTTGCAGAGAAGGGTGAGCGCCTCTCCTTCCCACACGGCTTGCTGCTTATTCTGGGTAGATATAGCCACACTTCTTGCTGTGGATAACAGGTTTTAGAAGAAAAAATTATTTCTTTTAAAAAATATTAATTCCAGAGAGGAAAGGAGAAGAAGATGGAGAGAGAGAATGAGAGAGAGAGAGAGGAGAGAAACATCAATGATGAGCGAGAATCATTCATGGACTGTCCTGCATCCCCTACATTGGTGATCAAGCCTGCACCCTGGGCCTGTGCCCTGATGGGGGAATCAAATCACAACCTCCTGGCTCAACCACTGAGCCACACCAGCTGGACAAGAAAAAAATTATTTCAAGGAAATGAAATATTTTCTAAAACACAGTGAGATCTCATTCATTAGGACGTGACTAGTTAGTGACAAATGAGACCAGGCTGCTTGCTCCTGTACCACCTCAGAAAAGAAAAAAAGACTTGCTGAATGCTTTAAAGGTGGAAACAAGAGAGCAGAAAGAATATTAGAGGAGTCTGTTTACATTAAACAATGGATAATGTGCCCTTCTTGTTAGCAGTGTGTTAAATCAGCTCTTCCTTCAGAATGTCTGGTTGGAAAACATCTGGCAATATTTTTGTTAAATTAATTAGGGGGAATGTGTGACCCTGAAAGTAACGAAGCTGTGTTTATTTAAATTTTTAGTTTTTTGGAATTCAGACTAGCACAGTTTAAAATGACCTTCCTCTCTCTATTCACCTCCCCCTAACTAGCATGTGTTTTGAACAGGGAAGGAATATTGTTTTTTTAAAATATATTTTATTGATTTTTTACAGAGAGGAATAGAGAATTAGAATTAGGAGAGGGATAGAGAATTAGAAACATCCATGAGAGAGAAACATCGATCAGCCGCCTCCTGCACCCCCCACACCGGGGATGTGCCCACAACCTAGGTACATGCCCTTGACTGGAACTGAACCTGGGACCCTTCAGTCCACAGGCCGACACGCTATCCACTGAGCCAAACTGGTTTTGGCAAGTATTGTTAATAGGATTTCTCTTCACAATATTCCCATTAAAAACAATTACTTGGGGGAAAACCCATATGTACAGATATATTTCTCTTTTTCAAATTACATGTAATATATATGGGGTGTTGGCTGAAGGGAGATCCTTCTTTTAAATTACAGTGTCAAACTGTAAATGCGAATCTGGCTCCCAGATGGGAAATTCAAGATGTGTAGGAATGCAGACATTCACTCCACAGCCACTTCCTGTGCAAGCCCTGGTCCTGAGTGCGTTGTAGGCAAAGCAAAGATAGCTCAGGAGCTCATGCACCGGAGGCAGCCCAGCCTCAGGCTGAGGGCCAAGGTCCCTGGAGTCAGAATAATCTTGGGCAACATAGCTGACCCCTGTGAGCCTCGGCTTTCTTTCCTGTAAATATAAGGGTAATAACAGCACCCACCTTCGCACATTGTTGAGAGAACTAAATGAATGGCACATAAGAAGGGCTTTGCCTTGCTGGCAAGGGAAAGTGCCCGGTGAAGGTTAGCTGTTAGTGTCAGTATGTTATAATAGACACTTTGTGAAAAGAGGGTGGTTCAGAGCCAAAGGAGAAAAATGAAAAAGAACTGGCGCTGGAAATCTGAATAGCATCTAATTGAATTTGCAAATTGTTCTTCCCTGCTGTGGACGTAGTTCAGTCTTCTGCTGTTATATATATATATATATATATATATATATATATATATATATATATTCAGTCTTCTGCTGTTTTATATATATATATATATTAGTTCAGTCTTCTGCTGTTATATATATATATATATATATATATATATTAGTTCAGTCTTTTGCTGTTTTATATATATATATATATATATATATATATTAGTTCAGTCTTCTGCTGATATATATATATACACACACACACACACACATATATTAGTTCAGTCTTCTGCTGTTTTATATATATATATATATATATATATATATATTAGTTCAGTCTTCTGCTGTTATTTATATATATATATATATACACACACACACATATATATATTAGTTCAGTCTTCTGCTGTTATATATATATATATATATATATATATATATATTAGTTCAGTCCTCTGCTGTTATATATATATATATATATATATATATATATATATATATATATATTAGAAGCCCGATGCATGAAATTCGTGCAAGGGCCTTGGCCACTGGCCTCTGCCTCGGCCCCTGCCATCGCTGCTGCTGCTGCCGCTGCAGCTTTGTCCCAGCTTGGCCCCGGCTTTGTCCAGAAGGTCATCCAGAAGGTCATCAAGAAGGACATCCGGCCGAAACTGGTTTTGCTCAGTGGATAGAGTGTCGGCCTGCAAACTGAAGGGTCCCAGGTTCGATTCCCGTCAAGGGCATGTACCTTGGTTGTGGGCACATCTCCAGTAGGGGGTGTGCAGGAGGTTAGCTTATCGATGTTTCTCTCTCATCGATGTTTCTAACTCTCTATCCCTCTCCTTTCCTCTCTGAAAAAAATCAATAAAATATATTTTTTTTAAAAGAAGGACATCCGGTCTAATTAGCATATTACGCTTTTATTATAATAGATGTATATAAGTTACAAAGGCAGAATGAAGGTTAATGTCTACAAATTATATATATTTTATACATTTGGAAACTTGTTTCCAAATTTTGAGTAGCAGAAGCATGATTATACTTTTATTTTGGGGCAAGTTAAAAATAGAGTCATAACTGAAGCTTAGACATGAGAGAGAAAATGATTGCTCATAATCTCACTACTCTAATATAACCATTATGGAAATAATGCGTGTAGAAAGCTATTGTTCCAGGGACTGGAATGTATGACTGGACCTGCCCTGTCTTCAGAAGACCCGCAAGCAACTCGACCTTCGTGTCTCAGGAGGACTGCAAGCGACAAGACAAGACTGTATCTGAGACACTGAGCTGCAAGAAGAGAATGTCCCCGACCCAGGATGCAGATAAGGGGAATCTCAGAAAATCAATGGACTGCAGCTTTTATCTGATGAACCCTTTTTCCTTTTTTTTTTTTTTTTTTAATATATATTTTATTGATTTTTCACAGAGAGGAAGAGAGAGGGACAGAGAGTTAGAAATATCGATGAGAGAGAATCATCGATCAGTTGCCTCCTGCATACCCCCTACCGGGGATGTGCCCGCAACCAAGGTACATGCCCTTGACTGGAATCGAACCCGAGACCTTTAAGTCCGCAGGCCAACGCTCTATCCATTGAGCCAAACCGGTCCCGGCTGATGAACCCTTTTTCCTGAATTCCAAATGCCTTACCTATTTTCTCCCTTTACCTATGCTTTTCTTCTCCTTATAAAAAAGGTGGCTTGAAATGGGGTATGTAGCTTATATTTTCTCAGATTGCCGGCCGTCTGAATGAAGTGCCCACAAAGAGTCAGTCCTTGTATCTACGTACTGATTCTGGTAGTGACAGGTAGCACTGAGGCTGACTTTTTCTGTTTCAGTAGTGAGTCTCCTCCTTCTGCTTAAAAAGCTCCTATTAGGATACAACTCTGCTCATAGTTCAAACAATGGCTTGACTTTTATCTTTATTTTTTAATTGATTTTTTAGAGAGAGGGGAAGGCGGAGAAGGAGAAAAGAGAGAGAGAGAAACATAGATGTGAGAAACATTGACCGGTTGCCTGCCGTAGAAACACACAACCTAGGCATGCGCCCTGACTGGGAATCGAACCTGCCACCTTTTGGTACGAAACAATGGAACAATATCCTATCCAACTCAGCCACACCGGCCAGGGCTGGCTTGGCTTTTAAAACTGCGTGTGCAATAGGATCCTTAATATATATGCTAAATACTTTTTCTGTTTCTCCATATCGGGCCCATTTTGGGCTTTAGCCTGTACAGAGGACTGTATTTAGCTTTAGAAGACCATCCTACTGGTAAGCTTAGGCTCTGCAGACCATGAAATACACTGATAGGCCCTTTGGCACCAATTCCCCCATTCTGGATTTAAGAAAGGTCACAGATACGCTCGGGGGAAAATTGAGATGCACAAAGCAGAGGCTTAGCTCTGTGTAAATATGTAAACCGCCCACATCATTTTCCTTGATTCCTAGAAAGTTAAACCAAATGTTTGGTGTGAAAGCTAACACCAACGCACTTCCTGGCTTGCCACTCGAGGCCAGAGCTTCTGTGTCTTCATTCCTAGATGTCTCCCATGAGCAAGTACAACGAGGATGTCTTAACTTTTCATTTGCTTTTGGTTTTTGTTTTCAGGCGAATTAATCTTTCTAGACTTTGAATGTAATACTCAGCCCACAGAATCCTAATTCATTCAGCTCTCTACAACCATGGATTCCTCATCTGCTGATTCAACCAACTGTGGACTGAAAATATTACACACACACACACACACACACACACACACACACACACACACAAAGTTATTACTGCACCTGATGTGTACTATGGAGTTAGGCCTAAGAAGGTGGCATTTATACAAACTTTTTTCCTTGTCATTCCTCCCTAAACAACACAGAATAACAACTACTTACATAATATTTACATTGCATTATGTATTATAGGTAATCTGGAGGTGATTTAAAGTACACGGGAGCGTGTGCACAGGTTATAGGCAAATACTATGCCCTTTTATATAAGAATTGTGGTATCTGTGAGGGATCCTGGACATTGAGGGACCGCTGTATTAATTGCATATTTATCAACTTTCTCTCCACACAAAAGCACTGACTATTCAAACATGTCTAAGGCCACCCAACCTTCACAAGCGAAGTGAAAGCTGAGTGGCCTTTCCAGTCTCACACCTACAGATACTCAGACCCATTGGACAGACACCTCCCCACATCACAGCAAAGTGCAGGGAATAGGGCCTGTGTACTACCATTCTCCCTTCATTCCTTTGGTGAGCCATGCTTTGGTACAGAATTAGTATGATTTAAGAAAAAGAAAAAAAAAAAGAAAAAGACTTAGACCTGGTCCCTATGGCTGGTTAAGATAATCAAGGCTTGACAAAAGGCGCCTGAATGATGGAGGAGTGTGGGGTGTAATGTGGGTGTTCATTCCCAGGAAGAAGCAAAGTGGAGCTTTTTCCTCTTAACCTACTCACATCACACACACAACTACAGAAGACAGAGGGCTCCATTCAGGCAGGTGCTCTCAGCTTGAAGAAAAAGCCAATGTGTAAAATTAGGGCTGCCAGCAAACAGAATCAAAGGATCTAGGATAGCAAGAGAGGATCTAATTGTATGTCATTATTTTACACTTGAGGAAGTGGAGATTTAGAGAAAGAGAGGAGCATCCACGGTCATGACCCATATAACGGCTCGAGAATGGGACTCGGGCCCAGCCAGCATGGCTCAGTGGTTGAGCACCGACCTATGAACCAGGAGGTCACGGTTCGATTCCGGTCAGGGCACATGCCTGGGTTGCGGGCTCCATCCTCGGCAGGGGGTGTGCAGGAGGCAGCCGATCAATGATTCTCTCTCATTGATGTTTCTCTCTCTTCTTCCCTTTCCATTCCTCTCTGAAATCAATAAAAATATATTAAATTAAAAAGAAAAAAAGAAAGAAAGAACAGGGCTCCGATCTTCGGCTAGTTTGGTGCTTTTCTGTTCTTCCCCACAAAATGGCCTGATTGACACCTGACTCTTCAGGAGATCTCTCTCCACCGTGTCCCTGAGGCAGCCTACACTAACGAAGGAGAGGATCTGAAAGCAGCCCGGCCGGGCCCGGTCTGACTTCACTTACCTGCTGGCTTCCTCAGGTGCACGTGACGGTCTGGGGATTGCTTTCTCTGAAGCTGTTGCCAGGAGCCCATCGGAGCCCTTGTCATCTCGGTCACTGTGCATCCGTAGGCGCCTTCATCCTCTGGGCCCGCAGCGAAGATCTTGAGAGAGAAAGCCTTGGGGTTCAACTTAGCAACCTGGAGTTGTCCTTGCCTTGCTCTCTCGCTGTAGTCTTTCTTCAGGCCCAGCACTCCACCGGCATCGATGCGGGCCACTTCCACGCTATTGAGGAACCAGACGCCCTGAAGCTGCAGGTCCCGGCCACCGCCCAGCACCAGGCACACCAGCTCTAAGGGTTTCCCTTCCGTGAACGTGCCCTCGGCCGTGAGGTTGACTTGAAAATCTCTTACTAGGAAACAAACGCAAGGCAGGTAGTTAGAGAGACCACTGCCTCGGCCCCTTCGCTAGCAGAGAGAGATGGCAGCCCCAGAAGGACAGTGCAAGGATTGAATGCCATGTTGAGGTTCAATCCTGAGGAGGAAATAGGCAGGAGAAATGCCTATCATCAAAAAGGTCCTTGCCTATTTTTTAAATCACACAGAAAGAACAGCATACCTGTCCTCCAAATGCAACCCTATTAAGCAGGATGTGTGTATGGATGTATACAGTATATAGCGAGGTGTTTTTTAAATGAAAAAAATATGTCAGATTTTATACTATGTTGAATTACTAGAAATTGTGATTTTATTTTTTTTTATTTTTTTATTTTTGCTCTATATTTTGGCTGAGAGTATCCAATGGAGTTTCCTAAGTTAAAAGCACATGTGGCCCTGAGTGGTTTGGCTCAGTGGATAGAGCATCGGCCTGCGGACTGAAAGATCCCAGGTTTGATTCCAGTCAGGGACATGTACTTTGGTTGTGGGTACATCCCCAGTGAGAAGTGTACAGGAGGCAGCTGATTGGTATTTTTCTCTCATCGATGTTTCTAACTCTCTATCCTTCTCCTTTCCTATCTGTAAAAAAATCAATAATAATAATTTTTTAAAAAGCACGTGGTATAAGACAGGTTCACAGCTAATATTATTCTTAACAATAAGAAGCTGAAAGCTTTTCCTCTAAGAACAGGAGTAAGACAAGAATGCCCATTCTTGCCACCGCTATTCCACATAGTACCGAAAGTCCTAACCAGACCAATTAGTCAGAAAAATACATAAATAAAAGGCATTCAAATCAGAAAAAAAAGAAATAAAATCATCTATAGAAACTCCAAAAGACTCCACTCAAAAACTGTTAAAATTAATACACAATTTCAGTAAAGTTGCAGGATACAAAAAAAAAATCAACCTCCAAAAATAATCTGTTGCATTTTTAGACACTAACAATGAACTATTAGAAAAAGAAATTTAAGAAAACATTCTTATTTACCATCGCAACAAAAATAAGAAAATGCCACCTGATGCAATCTACAGCAACTCTGCGCCCAGGTATCTGTAACACACCTGATTCCCAAGGCCAGCTCCAGCCGAAACCAGTTTGGCTCAGTGAATAGAGCGTTGGCCTGCGGACTGAAAGGTCCCAGGTTCAATTCCGGTCAAAGGCATGTACCTTGGTTGCACAACCTAGTGGGTGTGTGTGTGTGTGTGGTGTGCAAGAGGCAGCTGATCGATATTTCTAACTATCCCTCTCTATAAAAAAATCAATAAAATATATATTTTTAAAAACCACAAAAAAAACAAACAAACAAAGTTATAAAAAAACAAAACAAAGGCTAGCTCCACCGCTCGGCAGCGGGTTGACCTTGGGCAGAGCATTTAGCAAGTCTGAGGCTCAGGGTCCTTGCAGAGCCTGCCCAGAACAGCAACAACCCTGTTTCCACGTACGGCTTGTGCCATCGATCCAACTATTCAACAGACCTTAGCCCATACAAACCGTCCTGCGGACAGAGCCCAAAACTCACTGTCTTTCTTTTATTTATGCTTCCCGGATGACAGAAAGGAAAATTCACTCAAGCTTTCAGGAAAAATATTTTTAGATTCAACAAAAGATCAGAAGAAAACAAGAAGTGATCCCATCAACACCCACCGCCAGCATATTCATTTTCTGAGACGATAATTACCTGCTGGCTGGACGCTCAAGGTGGTTGGATCCGTCTGCTTTTTTGCAATGAAAGTCCAGGTTCCATCCGGATCCTGAATCCATTCGGTCGCCTCGCAGAACAGCCGGCCTTGGTCGGAGGGCTGCAGGCTCCCTAAGGACAGCCTGAAGGTGGCGGCCCCCAGCTTGTCCAGCCGCACGGCGCCGCGGGCAAACCTCTCTGCAAACGAGGGTCCTGGGAGCAGCGTGAAATCCTTGGAGAGGGAAATGATCTCGGAGGCTGGGCTTCCTCCACCCTGCAGCAGATGCCAGGCGACAGCCAGGTGGGTGTGCTGAACCGTGGCTCTGGCTGCCTCGCAGGTGAGTTCTAACGGCTCACCTTCCTCCTTACTGAGGGTCTGGGGACGCATGGTGGCGGAGAGGGTGTCTGGAATAACTGGAAGCAGAGAAATTAACGGTAATTGGCCCAATGCCGGTCAGACTGGCCTGTTTAGAGGAAGATGGCGCCCTGAAAAGCACATACTTGGTAGCCACGCGTGTTCCCTGTGGCCAATGCAGACGTTGGCATCTATGTGCATACGGTGGTCGGAAGTCAGCAAAGCCAATGGCTCCCTGATGCGCAACAACCCTGTTTCCACGTACGGCTTGTGCCATCGATCCAACTATTCAACAGACCTTAGCCCATACAAACCGTCCTGCGGACAGAGCCCAAAACTCACTTGACGTGTTTGATGTAGGGTGTAACCAAATTTGCTTCTTGGACATAACGTATCTAACGGGGAAAGCCCTGGGAGCTGGAAGACCTAGATTCTGATCCAAAATCTGTCCCTATTTGACCACAAGAACCAGAGCAAGTCACTTCCCTTCCTTGGGCCTTCACCTGCTCCTTTATACAATAACGTTCTGAAACAATCTGTGGTTGTCTGCCATTCGGAGCCAACATGCGACCTTCACAAAAGTGCTGGTAACCACCCAGCCGCCTTACCATTCTCTCCGTCCTCAAAGGAAATGACAGAGCCTCAGCTTAAGGAAGGCAACGCTTAGATCTGATTAATGGCTATTTACTGAGCATCTATTTCGTGCCAGGGACAGAAATAAACATCCCCTCCTCCTGGAGCTCCTCCAGAAGCAGCCAGTTACCACACAAACGGGTGGGTGCTAAGAACAGTGGTGTGAATAGAGCATTGAGAGGAAGGAAAATTGGAATATGGCCTGCAACCGTCAGGGCAGGTTTCACAGGAGAGGTAATATCTAAACTGGGTCCTGAAGTATATGTAGGAGTTTGTTAGGTTAAAAAAAAAGGGGGGGGGTGATAAGATATTCTAGGCCAGTGGTCGGCAAACTGAGGCTCGGAGCCACATGTGGCTCTTTGGCCCCTTGAGTGTGGCTCTTCCACAAAATACCACATGCGGGCCTGCACGTACAGTGCGATTGAAACTTCGTGGCCCATGTGCCGAAGTCGGTTTTTGGCCTGGGCGAATCTATTTTGAAGAAGTGGCGTTAGAACACGCAAGGGGCCAGAGAGCCGCATGTGGCTCGCAAGCCGTGGTTTGCCGACCACTGTTCTAGGCAGAGACCAAGGGGTAATTACAAGAACGATTACCTTCTCTCTTTTGGTAAATAGGCTGGAAAATGGTATAATAGTTTGCAAATAAGCATTCCCAAATGAACGACTGACCACCTATAGCATTAATACCAGCTCTTATCAAGTTAATATTCTGTCTCTAAGAAAAGACATAACCTGATGAGAGTTCTCCAAGCTTTGGCTGATGCTGTGGCTACTGTCAGTCTTCGGGTAGCTGTGGGGAGGCCTTGGGAAGGCACACACTCTCTCAATCTTCAAGGCAAAGTTGATTGGAAACATGGAGAGCTTTCATAAACGTGAAATACCTATTTGTGATAAATCCCCCAACTGTCCAGAGAGGTACATGGGCCATTTGGCCAAAGCAAACAGCACAATACGAAGCGATGTCACCCTGCAAGGTGTTGGCTAGCAGAGGGGGGCACGCGGCTTACCAACGAGAGTCGTCTTCGCGCTGTAACTCCCGTAGTATTCACCATCCGTGTTCGGCGTGTGGCACTCATATTCACCAGAATCCTTCGCCTGCAGCTTGGAGATGTGCAACGAGGCGGCGTTGCCCTGGAGCCTCTCCACATAGATGTCCCTGCTTGTTACCCGAGGCGCGTACACTGAGTAGGTGAAGCCCGCGTCCTGGGTGCTAACGATCTGGATCTCTCGGGTCGGGGCTGCGGGCAGGTACACAGACCACTGGAAATGCTGCTCTGCAGGTCCCTGGTGGCCAGTGACGTTGCAGCTGATGCTGACGGGGTAACCTTCAGCCCTAAACAGCGGTCCTTTCTGAACGGTTACTACTCTCTGGCCAATGCTGAGCTTAGCTTGCAAGTGGGAGAAAGGAAGGGGAATAAAAATAGATTAGTGTCGCCGAAACCTGTTTGGCTCAGTGGATAGAGCATTGGCCTGTGGACTGAAAGGTCCTGGGTTTGATTCCAGTCCAGGGCATGTACCTGGGTTACAGGCACATCCCCAGTAGGGGGTGTGCAAGAGGCAGCTGATCGATGATTCTCTCTCATCGATGTTTGTAACTCTCTATCCCTCTCTCTTCCCCTCTGTAAAAAATAAATAAAATATATATTTTTTAAAAATAGATTAGTGTCCCAGCTCCCAACATGCCGCCTTCGGCAGCTCCCTGTATTATAATACCCATATCTGGGATGGCATGTTATGAGCTGTAATCAAAAATAAGTGCACTGCAGATAAGCAGATATATTTCATGGCCCCTTTTATGAAATATATCTGTTTATCTGCAGTGCACTTATTTTAAAGTAAATATGATGTATGATGATTCACCTGTACATTTTTTGGGGAGGTGGGGGGGGGTGGGGGGTGGATTCAGCAGGTACTTCCTAAGCCTTTATATCCTGGGTGGCATTTCCCACAGCCATGATTGCTGGAGAGGCAGTCTCCAGCACTGCCCATGGGGCCATGCTTTTTCCTGTGGGTTGGTTGGTCATTAGCACCTGGCCACATCGGATGCAAGCTCGGCTAAAATTAGCACCTGACGAGCTAGCAGTAGCACTTCCTTTCTATATTGTGGAGGGGGTTTTGTTTTGTAATTTTTTAAAGAGCCAATACAGCTTTACTTAAAAAAACAAACAAACAAAAAAAAAAAACCTTCCTACTGTTGAATGTCAAGTCCCACAGGATCTGGAATCAGAATTTATTCTAGTTCTTCCCTTACCCAGATTTTCACTGGGGACCACTATGGAATGTTTGGGGGAAATCTCATGTATTAGATTTAAAGGAGAAGACATTATGGAATGGTAACATTTCCTCTGATAGACACAGTTTCAAAATCAAGCATTTTGCAGAAATCACAATGAGTTTACTATTATATTGATATTAAAGGCTAGTTTGTGTTCTGGGAAAACAACAACAACAAAGAACAGATGACAGATGCCATAAGGGTGAGCTAGATCTCTCAGGAGGCCGAGAGCCAGTGGGAGGGGAGGGTGAGGTGGTGTGACCACAAGTCAGAGCGCTCATCTGAAGGAATTAGCAGAACAAGATTCATAAGAAGATTCGGGAGAAGCAGAGCACCTGCTGAATCGTGTGACCCTACAGGGCAAAGGAAACTGAAGGGAAAACAGTGAGAGAAAGGAACAATGACATGACAGAGACCAGGATAAGGCTGAGAATAGAAATTCTGGAACGCAAACAATTCTGCTAGACACAGGGCAACAAACCAATGGGCAGAAGGAGTCAGTAGTCACCCGAGACAGTCAACGAACTAAAAACTACACGAGTGTGCTCAGTGCAAAAAGGAAAAACCACCATCTAACCAACCCATCGACCAACCACACACATTTCCAGTAATCATTGAAAATACACTCATGTATTCATAAATCCCAATTTCATATGCATTTTATGTTTATATTATGCCTAGAAATAGAAGTTAGGGCAGCTGAGAGAATTTTAAATTATTACTTACCCCCCCAAAAATACTATAGTACAGAGGCCATTGAAAACATTTTCAGCAAAGCCAGCCAGTCTTAGACATGCCCTAGGAGAAGGTGTGCACTGTGCCTCAGGCTACCGTGAGAGAGCACCCATGGCTGTGTTGTTCATTAGAGCCCCAAACTAGAGGCCACCCATATGCCCACCAATGCTGAGTAGATGAACTCAGTACATCCATAAAGTAAAATAGTTGCTATAATATGAATAACTGTGTTTAGTAACAGATGCAAAATACTTTGAATCTTTTTGACTACCTAGAGCAGTGTTTCTCAAACTTTTGACATATGTGTACCCCTTCTATAATTTTCATAACGCTGAATACCCCTCGTACTCATGAGAATGTAGAATTAGGCGCAGCTAAGCATGGTGCAGTGCATATCCCCACCAAACTCTTCCCGTACCCCTGGGGGTATGCATGCCACACTTTGGGAAACACTGACCTAGAGAATGGTTCTACCCTTTTTAAATTTAAAATATATATATATATATATTCTATTGGTTTTAGAGAGGGAGAGAGAGAAAGAAATACAAACATCAATGAGGAGAATCATTGATGAGCTGCCTCCAGCATACTGCCTACTGGGGATGGAGCCCACAACTCAGGCATGTTCCCTTGACTGGAATTGAATCTGGGACCCTTCAGTCTGCAGGCCGACGCTCTATCCATTGAGACAAAGCAGCTAGGGCGGTTCTACTCTTCATAAAGTTTTAAAACAGGCAAAACTACATTGTGTTGTTAAGTGATGCAAGCATTAGGGGTAAAAAGAATCAAAAGAAAAAAGAAAAGCTAGGAAGTGGTTGTCATGAAAGTCAGAAAAGAGATTGTGTGTGTGGGGGGTTGTGATCTGGATGCGGCACATGGCAGCACGGGTGGGTCCTTCTTGGGTCTTAGCAGCGTTCTTTTTTTTTTTTTTTTTTAATCTGGGTCGTGATTGCATGGTTTTTACTTTTTTACTTATTTGCTCAAAGGCACATTTATGTTTTATTTCCTGTTCTTTTTGTGTTTTATTTCACAATAAAAAACACCTTGTAAAAAATGTAATTTCTGAGGTACCACTAACCTGTTTCTATCAGGGCCTGTTTCCACAATGCTGTGTTTGGTTGCTAGGCAACACTCTTTCAACATTTTCCATGACTTTTCAGAGAGATGGGCATCGTGTTTGAAGCATTTCATTGTGAAAACTAGCATTTCGTTTTCTACTATTTTATTTGCCAATTCAATAAATATTTATTCAACCACTTCTAGTATTTCTGATGCTTCAGGAACCCAGATACAAAGATGAGTTTGAGAGAGTCTCTGACTTCTATATTTTATAATTTCGTCAAGTAGGGTAATAGTCCTCATTGAAAGATGTGATAAAAATGCTTTTCAGGAACTTGAAGAACAGAGAGATTATATTTTTTGAAGAGGGAAATAGGCCAGGTTTATGAAAGAGACAGTATCAGAAAGGGGCTTTGGAGAATTGGAACGATTATGACAATTGGAAAGACAAGATATTTTAGGTAAGGGGAGTTCATGAGGAGACTGAATGAACAGGAATTAAAAGACTTATTAAAGGAAACAGGGAGTAATCAGTTAGATTAGGGGAAGAATTATATGAAGATTAATAGAAGGAGGTAAGAATTGGTAGGACATTTGGGTCCAGAACATGAAGGACTTGACTCTTATGATTAAATGTTTGAACTTGATTGAGTAAGCTATGCTTGATTAAGCCTGAAAGTGTTTGAAAGGTCTTAGGAAAATTAACCTGACAATTTGTATATGATGAAGGAAATTAGAAACAGACATTAGGTAATTATTGCAGCCCAGGAGAGAAGTGATGAAGGCAACAGGGATGGAAAGAAAGGAATAATTTCAAAGCCACTGTGGTAATAAAATCCATAGTTTTTCAGTGTCTTGGATGCATGGAGGTAGTAGGGTGGGTAGAGGGATGAAGGAAGGAAGAAGTCAAAGATGATACCCAGGTTTGTGAGGGCGGCTGGAAGACTAATGGTACTATTAACAGAAACAGGAGATCAGGGAGAGTTACTGTTGTGTGTTCAAGGAAGAAGATAATACTTTTAATTTCAGAAATACTAAATTTGAGTACTGTGGAATAAACAGGAAGGATATACAGCAAATATTTGGAAATAATATTTAAATATACACTGAGTGGCCAGTTTATTATGATCTCTGAACACATAATAATCTGGCCACTCAGTGTATATCCTATTTAATAAAAGGCTAATATGAAAGTTGTCCCCTCGACCAGGAGTTCAACCAGCAGGCAGGCTGGCCAACTGCCCACCCAGCCAGGCTGGCCAGATCCCACTCATGCACGAATTTATGTACCGGTCTCTAATATATATATGTACACACACACACACACACACACACACACACACACACAGAGTGGCCAGATTATAATGCATTCAGAGATCATAATAATCTGGCCACTCATATATATGTGCTTTAAAATCTTCAACGCTTTGAAAATGTGTATATTCTAATCCTTTCAAGAACTCTGTCATAGTTCCTTATTTGGCAGTGTCATAACTTGTAAATGGCCGAGCCACACTTGAACCTAGATTTGCAAATGTCAAACCTCTGGCCATCTCTATGGCTTCTCTTGGTTTCCTGTAAGTGCTTGTTTGTAAGCAGGGAGAGTTCTGGGCTGTAGATGCAAATTAAGTCAGTCATACATGTATGTATTGGGAAGTGTTAGGGAATATAAAGAAGAAGGTTAATGAACAATTGCTAGAAAATCTATTTAGGGGGGTTAGAAGAGGAACAATACCTATTGAAGGAAGTTATGGATTTGAGAGGGCAGCCAGGACACAGTGGCTTGGAAACCAAAGGAGGCAAATCATTCCAATAAAAAAGGGCTGGTCAGCCGAAACTGGTTTGGCTCAGTGGATAGAGCGTCAGCCTACAGACTGAAAGGTCCCAGGTTTGATTCCGGTCAAGAGCATGTACCTTGGTTGCGGGCACATCCCCAGTAGAGGGTGTGAAAGAGGCAGCTGATCAATGATTCTTTCTCATCAATGTTTCTAACTCTCTATCCCTTCCTCTTCCACTCTGTAAAAAATCAAGAAAATATATTAAAAAAAAAAAAAAAAAAAAAAAAGGGCCGGTCAGCACTGTGAAATGCTGCTGAGAGGCTGAGGATGCTAAAGCTTAATGACAAGGTGTCAGTGGAAGTCTTTGTAAAAGTGATGTCAATCGAGCAGAAGCAGATTTCAACCATATATATATATATATATATATATATATATATATATATATATTTAATTGATTTCAGAGAGGGAGAGAGAAATAGAAACATCAATGATAAGAGAGAATCATTGATTGGCTGCCTCCTGCACACCCTCTATGGGCGATCGAGCCCTCAATCTGGGCATGTGCCCTTGACCGGAATCAAACCCGGACCCTTTAGTCTACAGGCTGACGCTCTATCTACGGAGCCAAACTGTCTAGGACTCCCCTTAATACTTGTGATGACTAATAGCAGGCTTCCTACATTTTTTTCAAGGTACTTCCTGATTTGTGTGTTTCTTCACATAAAAACTGTGGTTCTACACAAAGTCAGTGCTGTGGATGACTCCGAATTTAGAAGTAAGATATATAACCCAGAAGAGGCCATTGTTGAAATGGGCTAAGGAAAAGCTTTCAGCTTCCCCTTTTGAATCCTGAGTACTACTTTCTTTCCCCTCGGACCTCCCAGCCTGCTTACAAAAGAGAGAGAGTTTGCAATCGTCTGACTTCCCCAATGTAAACCCAGCTTCCTCCTACACGCAAACCAAACACACGCTCCAAATATGAAAAGCAGGTACACCTCAGAATCCCTCTCAGACAACCGGACAGGACAAACAGGAACACACCAGCCAACAATCCCCACAGGCCCCCACCAGTCCACCTGGCCCTCCGCACCTGACAGACCTGGCGGGTGGGCACTGCTCACACCACAAAGAGCCCCAGGAATCTTCCTTCATACCACCTCTCACCCCATCAAGCCCCAGATCTGGTTCTTACCTCCCACCCGCCAATGCCCCTTTGCAACGTGAGCTCAGTTCAATGCAAACTGATGCGTATTCAGCACTCCCCTGGCGGAGGGCTGCTCCCTTTTCATGCTTTAGCCACAGCCCTGGTCACCCTGGGTGTGATTTCTTTTAGTTCCCCTCTGGTTCCAGCCATTAAAGTACCTTCACTATCTCACTTCAGGAGTTCTTAACCTGGAATTACTACTTTCTTTCCCCTCCGACTTTCCAGCCTGCTCACAAGAGAGGAGATGTGCAATTTTAAAGAGTCCACACACAGTGGGGAAAAAAACAAACACCCTACATTTTAATTTTCATTAATATTCGTGGGAATTTAATATTTCCTTCCTTCATGAATGTAGACAACAAACCATCAATATTTTCATATCACATTACAGTTGTTGCAAAAAATCTTGAAATATTGTTCGTGTTCATGACAACGTTGAAGTTTGGTGGTTGACGTCTAGATTGTTACGTAATGCATAAAGAGATGAATAAGTGACTCCCATCACAAACTATTTTGGCTTCGGCTGGTGTGGCTCAGTTGGTTGGAGCATTGTCCCATACATTCCCCTCACCCATCCCCCCCCCAAAAAAAGTGGCAGGTCCAGTTCACAGTCAGAGCACATTTGGGAAGTACCCAATCGATATTTATCTCTCACATTGATGTTTCTCTCTCCCCCCCCCCCTTTCCTCTCTCCCAAATCAATTAAAAATATTCTGATAACTGCATTTCAATAGGATTGATTGGTGTCCCCTAGTGCCCTTTGTATTATATTTCATTTTATGCATTTAAGACATTATTTTGAGATGGGGTCTATTGGCTTTACCAGATGCTAAAGGCCACCACTGCACCATTAGTACCTGCTTGCTGCTCTACCTACTCTGGAACTAAGTCAGTCCCTTCCCAATTCACCTTCAAGCTTCCCTTTTCTTCCCTCATGCAAGAATGCCCCGGGCCAGCTAAGGCCCCTGCGTAGGCCTCTCAGCCAAGCCAAGTGAATCTCCCTGCCCCTTCTCAGTCTCTCAGTAGTCAATTCCCACTTCAGCCCAGGTCAAGTCCAGAACCCTCTTTAGCGTAGCCTAAGACTACTAAGTGCTCTCAGGACCTTTCCTTCTGCCCGCAAGGCACACTTATCTAGTCAAGCTCTGACATGAGGCCAACCTTACAATCGCCTCCCTGTCTGGAGAGCTAAGCCTCTTGCTGTCTCCAGGCATGGGCTAACCCAAGAAGACAAGACAAAGGCAGAGCCAGCAAAACCAGCACATCTGGCATCGCAGCCAGAAGTCACCAAGCACTGCCTGCACCAGAGAAGTCTGGTCCCATTTTGCCTGGAGGAACCACCCTGTCCTGTTCCATCACCCAGCAGCCCCTGGGACGAGAGAAACACGCGGAACGATGACACTTACTCAGAAAGAGAAGGAGAGATGCCACACGTGGGATGTAGGCCATGGGGACCTGTGCAGAGCGCTGCCAGTGGGGGCACTGAGGTTGCTCAGATGCCGAGTGACAAACGCTATGAAGGCAAAGAGGAAGCGGTGTTGTTTTCAGCCCACGGAGAGAGGCGGCTTGCAAAAGCCACACTCGTTGCATTATGGTTCTTTGCAAAGTGCTCCAATTTGGGTGTGAAAAAAAAATTAGTTCAGCTGAAACCAGTTTGGCTCGGTGGATAGAGCGTCGGTCTGCGGACTGAAAGGTCCCAGGTTCGATTCCAGTCAAGGACACGTACATTGGTTGTGGGCACATCCCAGTAGGGGGTGTGCAGGAGGCAGCTGGTTGATGTTTCTCTCTCATCGATGTTTCTAGCTCTCTATCCCTCTCTCCCTTCCTCTCTGTAAAAAAGTCAATATGAATTATATATTTTTATTTTTTTTATATATATATTTTTTAAAAATTAGTTCAGGCAACTGAACAGGACAAACAGTTATCTTCCTGGGCAAGTATATGTTTATACAGATAAAAATAAGAAAAGATAGCCCTCATCCTGGCTAAATATGCATCAAGAGGTAGCCATCAGAGAATTTAAGGAAACGGAATAAATAAAAATCAAGCAGAAATGTCCTTTCCTTAACCCTGACCTCTCCTCCCATTTTGGGGAGAAAAGGACTGAGAAATGGCGGAAGGGCCCCTGAAGAACATGAGCCTGGGGAGACAAGGGGGATGGCGAGGAGGGCAGCTCTGGGTTTGCACATTGAACCTATTTCTAGTAGCTGCGTGATCTCAGAAAAGTTAATTAACCTTTTCTAACTCTCCTCTATAAAACAGTACATACCCCACAAGACTGCTGAGAGAATCGAACGGATGAATTGACTTAAGACGCTTAGAACAATATCCCATGCACGGAAAAGGCTTAGTAAATGTCAGCCACCATCCTTGGACAATTAAGTGCCATCTTCTGCTCAGTGTGGGCCTGGGCACCAACGAGGCCGGAGGAGAGCCTCAAAGCTGGCACTGAACACTGGCCGACTTAATCCCACTCTCGTCTCAGAAGACAATGGGTGAGCTCCCGCAGGACCAGTTCCCTGAGTCAAGCCTACATTCAGAGAGGCCAACAGCAAGCGGGCCTGCTTCAGGCAGATCCCTGGCTCCATCCAACCATGTTTCAGTACTTCCATGCGCTGGGTGCTGTGGTACGCTGTGCCCCTACAAAGGGGTTAGCTGTTCCGTCTGGCTCTCAGGGAGCTTCCACTTCATCGGACGATCAGAATGCCACAACCGTCACGTCAGCACCCAGAGGGAATGGGGGCAGTTGGCGGGCAGGAGGGTTGGACAGGAAGGACTGGGCTGGTCCAACAAAACACCTCGAGAGGAAGGTAGAGCTGGAGACGCAGTTTAGCGTGAATGATAGCGCCCCAGCTGTGCCCTCCTGTTGGAGTCAAGTTGGAGGCTGGCATGAAGGGAGAAGGGACTAGAGAGGAAGGCTGGGCAGACCTTAGGGAGCCAGGCTCACCAGGCCCGAGTTTGGCTTTTACTCCGTAGAAAAGAGGAGCTCTTAAGAAGGTGGCATTTTTTGTTTGTTTTAGTTGGGGGCGGGGGGAGGGCTTGTTTCTTTACAGGAGCATGGTCTAGTTCGATTTTTCCTGGGAAGCTGAATTCCATGTTGTGCTTTGCTAATTTTTGTTCACAAGCCATGACATCTGCTAGCAAGAGCATGATGGTCTAGGACTGTGGTTGGCAAACTCATTAGTCCACAGAGCCAAATATCCACAGGCCAATGATTGACATTTCCTCTGAGAGCCATATTTTTCAAACTTAAACTTCTTGGAACGCAACTTCTCCAAAACAGACTCGCCCAGGCCGTAATATTTTGTGGAAGAGCCACACTCCAGGGGCCAGAGAGCCGCATGTGGCTCGCCAGCCGCAATTTGCCAACCACGGGTCTAGGATGGCCTTGGCTTGCACCCCCTCTCATGTCTCTCTAAGAGGGCAGCCTGGGCACGTTTTTCATGGTGTCAGGGTTCCCAAAGAATGAGAGGAAACACATCAGTACTTTTCAAAGCTTCTGCTTGCTTCAGGACTGCTAACATCTCACAGATCAAAGCGAGTCACCCGGCCACGTCCAAAGGCAAGAGCTGGGTTAACAGATTCCCTCTCTTCAGCGAAGGGAACTGCAGGAGCGGTAAAGAACAGGAGCCATCGGTGCAGTCCAGCTGCCAAGTGCACGGAAAAGAGAATTATTTTTGAAATTAGCATTGGCCGCAGAGATAACGGTTGCCAATAATACAGAGTCCCCTTTATCCCTGAAATACATACGACCAAGGAAAAGCTATGCAACTTCTCATTCCTGGCGACGGCCCGCCTCCACCCCCTTTTTTTGTTTCCATTTTAGTGGCTCCATTTCTGGCAGAATTTAACATTCACAGGCTGATGTCATTTCCTTTCTGGACGGAAAAAAGAAGCTTTCTGTTGTCAAGGAAAAAAGGAGAAAGAAAAAACAGAGCCAGAGAGAGACAGAATTATTCTACTACCTTTGGGAATCGGTGCATTGCAATTGTATCATTTGAAAGGAATGCAAAATGTAGTTCTTGCTTGAGATGGGGGTGTGGGTGGGGGTTGGGCAGTTCTGGATAAAGCAACCCAGGAATGTGTTAAAGGAGGGAGGAAATCCTATTCTAGGTCCTGGAAGATTAATGAAAAGATTTTTTTTTTTTTTAAGATGTGATACACTCAAATATTAATTCCACAGAATCATAGAAATTACACCCTCTGTGCCCTCCCTTACCCTAAAAACTCAGGCCCAAGAAATAGTCAAACAGGGACCCTTGACACATAGTTTTATAGAATAACGCACATCACTGTGTGATAGGTATCGCTTATCCCATTTCGCAGATGAGAAAACTGAGGCGCAGAGGAATCAACTAACCTAGCCAGGATCGTATGGCTAGGCAATGGCTGCATTTTAAGGCTGCTTTTTACTTTGAGTCAGTGTTTTCTATTACACCTCCGCAGCGTGCCATTCATGACTTTCAGAGAAGGCAGACTGTGTGTCCGCAGGAAGCTGCTCATGATTTTGCTCTTTTCCCTGAGATTATAATTCAGGTCAGAGTCGTGGCTATACCCAGGCCTGGAACTTGCCAGAGGTATGGGCTGAGCCTCTTGTCTACATGCATGGAATACCAAGCAGTGACGCCACAGGAAGGGATTCAATGATCTCAGTCAACTCCTTCAAAGAACAGAGGGAGAAACTGAGGCCTTGAGTGGGCCCAAGGCACTGCTGGGCTCTTTCCAGGGCTCTTTCCAAGGCACTGCTGGGCTCTTTCAAGACATTTTGGCCAATGCTAATTTCTTTGACTGCATTAAAAGGCCAGTATGTTCCCCAGGCCTAGAACGAAGCCCATTCCCGGGCAAGGTGAGTCACGGGACACAGCCCTCAAAACATGAGCGGGTTCCCGCCCAGAGCACACAGGAGGCCCACAGGAAGGTCCATGGGGAGGCCAGCCAAGGCCGCGGCTGCTCCAGGGCCCAGCAGGAAGTGGGGGCTCCTGCGCTCCCCACTGTCCAGGTCCCAGAAGCCGGTGGTGGGGGAACAACAGTTTGTATATTATACAGGGGCCAGCACCTGGACGGGTTGGGTTCCAGACTGCGTCACGAGTCAGAAAAGCCACTCTGCTCCAGTCACAGTATGGTCACAGGACGTTGGTTTCCTGATCCGCAGAGAGGAACAACAACTTCTCTTTCCCGTTAGGAGACCTGTAAGGTCGTGAGAATCACCCAGAGAGCAAAAGGACCTCGGGCCAGGTCTGGCCCTCACCTTTCCGCTGGGTGTCAGTGGGAATGTCAATGTTGACCCTATGAAATCCCTTTCGTCTTTTATCTTTATTTTTTTTAATGTGTTTTTATAGATGTTTTTAGGGAGAGGGATAGAGAGATAGAAACACCAAAGAGAGAGGAACATCATCGACTGGCTGTCTCCTGCACACTCGACTGGGGATCGAATCCTCAACCTGGGCATGCGCCCTGACCAGGAACTAAACTGGCGACCTCTTGGTTCCTGGGTCGACGTTCAACTACTGAACCACACCGGCCAGCTCTTCTCTTATCTGTAGTGAAACTCTGTGATGCTGACCTCGGGGTTCAGAGCTCAGAAGGTGCTCAAGTTGCCACCGGAAGTCAGCTATCGTCCCTCACGTAGAAGAGGCAGAAGGACAACAGAGGCCAACATCATGTTCCTCACACAACGTCCATTTAAATTAAACTTCCTTTAATGAAATAAAAAAACCCAAAAAACAACAAATGGTGCATTGCATAATATCTGTGGTCACAGTATAAAACAATACAATCAGTTCATATAACATTGGAAATGGACAAAAATACACAAGATCCTTCGTCTGTCTACGTGAAATGTGGCAGATCCCACGTGCCACGCTACGAAAGTCCACTTTTTTTCTCCTAGTGATTCGCACCCAATATTTATCACTGAGAATTTGGTCAAACGGTGGAAGAGAACGTACCCAAATCCCAGTTCCCTTCTTCCTCTGTGGTTATTGGTGAAGCCAAAAAAATAAAACGTTTTCTGAAAGTAGCAAGTTGTGTAGTATTGCTTATTATTTCCTGCCACAAAGGCCCAGTCTTTGGCTCATAGGTGCCCGTGACAAAATCGTGGCTGCAGGCAGTCTGCAAAGCAAGCAAGAGCCACCAGGAGGGAAGCAGGCAAGAGTCTGGGTCAGAGGGGCCTCCTTCACCAGCATGCCAGGGGAAGCCGCGTGGAGAGGAGGGGAGGAGAGACACAAATAAATACAATTTCTAAGTGAAGACTGGACTCCGGTTGGCGAGTCAGAGTTCCACCGTCCCACGTAAGATCGGAAAAGTTGTTAAAAAGTCAGAGTTTGTATTTTTTTTTTCTCCTCTTCTTTTTTCTTTAAGAAAAGTGTAAAGTGTTATGTAAACATCACAAAGTAAACAATTGAAAGTAATTTTGAGGCTCCTCTCTGAACACAGCTTAGGCGCTTTCCGGGGAGACTTTCGTGATTGGGGGGGAAAAAACCCAAACATTTTATGAAGTTTTGTTGTTGTTGTTGTTCAGAAGGGCAACGTTGTCCAGGAGCATTGTGGCTGGGTCCTTCCCTCCGTACACCCAGGGCTTCTGGTAGGAACCCTCGCCAGAGAGCACATGAGAATGTATCCCACACGCGCTCCCGGCAGGTGCATGGCCCTGGGAGGAATGGGGTCCTTGCTACAACATCCTGGGATGTTCCCCTTGGGACCCACCCCTGGACAGAGGGTGGGGTTGAGATCAAAGCCTGGAACGACCACAGCAGTTTGCACATGTCCCCTTTCCTACTACCTTTCACGGGTCACACACACACCGGGGGCCACCTGGTCACGCCCCAGGCTACGTACCCTTTCCCCCTACCAAGAAGGGCTTCCCCTACAACCATCCTGAATCTTTTAGGCCAGTGGTCGGCAAACTCATTAGTCCATAGAGCCAAATAGCAACAGGACAACGATTGACATTCCTTTTGAGAACAAAATTTTTTAAACTTAAAACTCCTAACGCCACTTCTTCAAAATAGACTCGCCCAGGCCGTGGTTATTTTGTGGAAGAGCCACACTCAAGGGGCCAAAGAGCCGCAGGTGGCTCGTGAGCCGTAGTTTGCTGCCCACGGTTCTAGTGAGTGTGAGCTCTGCTAGGCTCCAGGGCACTGGCTGCTCCCAACACAACACCTACTGACGTGTTCGCTCTTGCATCTCAGTGTGTACGTTCACCAGGAACCCACCTCCTCTGAAATGGCAGTTAGGAAGCGACACGTAGAGAATTCCCACCCCTTGCCCAGCCAGTGTGGCTCAGTGGTTGAGTGTCAGCCTATGAACCAAGAGGTCACGTTCAATTCCCTATCAGGGCCCATGCCCTGGTTGTGGACTCGATCCCCAGTGGCGAGGCATGCAGGAGGCATCTGATCAATGATTCTCTCTCTCTATCCCTCTTCCTTCCTCTTCAAAATCAATAAAAATAGACTTAAAACATTTTTTTCTTTAAGAAAATACCCAACTCTAGTGCTATGGAGGCCTCGTCCTCCTCCTCCAGTCACTCGCACCCCGTGGCCCGTCTTCCCCGATTCCACCTGTGCCTAGAAGTCATCTGTGCCACCACCATCGGTGCGGGATCCCGTGCCAACCCCATGAGGGGTCCCGCGGCGGGCAAACAGGGAGTGGGCATCTGCCTCCTGGGGCTGCCTCACTGATGCGTGCAGAAGGGGTGGTGGGCAGCAGAGTGAAGACTGGGAGCTGGGAGGGTTGGGGGGGTCGGCTCGTCCGGCCCATTGTGACAAAGAGCCGTACATGAATGGCCATCGTTTCGTATTACTTTATTGCTCAGAACCAACGTGTCTTTTTTCCCCTTTGGAAGACAGAGGAGCGTCAGATCCTTCGGAGCCATGCACAGCAGCCCCGAGGAGTGCAATGCAGGCCGGGCATCACCCCAGCCTCAGGGCCCCGTGGGGAGGCCTCTGAAAGGCCAGACCCTCGGGGGGGAGCGGAAGGTCTCTTTTGGTCCGTTGTCCTGTTCCTGGTGTGAGCAGTCGGGCCAAAGAGACAGCTCTCAGATCTCCTTTGGAGGCTGGCTGTTCCCAGGGCAATGCATTGCTGGGCTTCCTTCATGTTCCTAACAGGAGAGCAAGCTCTCTCCAGCCCTCGCAGGGGCTCTCACACAGCCCTGTGACATGGCCAGAGAACACACTGGGTTCTTCCAGATGATGTCTGATCTCGGGAAGTCAGCCAGTCTCCAGGCAGCAAGCATCCTTCATGCTAAGGAGACCAAGCAGTCTTGGGAGGAGGGGAGGCCCCTGTAGGTCCCCCCCTCCCCCCCGGCCGTCCCTGGGTGTCCAAGGCCTGTGCCTCCTGCAAAGGACAGGATTGGGGGCTGGAGGTGGCTTCTTCCGCCTGACACACCCCGGACCCTCCAGGCACGAGCTGCAGAAACATGACTCTCAGGGTCCGCCTTCGGCTCTCCCTGGGGCCCCTCCCTGCCCCCCCCCACCCCCCCCCCAGTGGCCTCCGCACGATCGCAGCGTCTTTTCCTTCCCTTGTCCCCAGCCTCCTCTTCCTCGCAGACCTTCTTCCTGCCCTGGTCCGAGGGTTTTTCTTCATGTTCATGCTTAAGGCTAAGGTGGCATGATAAGGTGCTTGGTGGAGAGCCAAATCCTAGATTCCAAGGCTGCCATTCTTAGCACGCTCACAAGAAAGCAAAGAGCAAAGAAATGCGAAGGGGGCAGAGAGGCAAAATAACCAAAATACGCGTCTGGGCTCGATGGGAAGCTACACGCCGCCAAGTTCAGATTCCAAATGTGGTCTGACCCCCTGAAAGCAGGGGCTGGGCCGGGGTGGGGGTCCACGCCACACCTTGGCCCTGGGCACAGGTCCGTGTTGTCCCTGGGCCGGCGTGGAGGGCCACCCTCCTCCCTACACCTGCCTCCCATCCAGGACGAAGGACTCCGAAGGCCATCCCCCGCCCCATCCTCGCCGCGACCCCTCGGGACAAAAAGCTATAAACACACACACAAGCCAGAGGTCTATAAACCAGTAGGAGAAAAAAAATTAGACGAGAGGTTAACCTCGAAGGAGCCGCCACTGCCGGGAGAAGACATGCGTGCGCGCCCGTCCTCGGAAAGTGCCGTGGGGGGGGGGGGGGGGGTAGCCGTGTGCTGGTGGACGTGTCCGCGCTCGGGCTCCGCGTGCAGAGGGGAGCGCGCCGGGTCCCACCTGAGATGAGCGAGGACTGGGTTTTAGGGTGACACGCTTCACGTCAGAACATCACCGTCCTCTTCCGGCCCCGATCGCTCCGGGACCGACCGTCCATCCACCCGTCCATCCGTCCCGGTGTCGCTGCCCCGGCCGGGCACCGGCCTCCGCTAGTCCATCTCCATGGACATGAGCCGTCGGCGCTCACGCCGGGTCTCCTGGACCTCCTTCTTGCAGCACCAGTGGGAGCTGCAGTAGCCGATGAGGCAGGACAGGAGCCCCACGACGGTGGACAGGCCGACGCCGATCAGCAGCGGGTACTTGAAGGCGTTCAGCACTGGCAGGGGCAGAGCAGAGGGGAGCCGGTCAGTGATGCCCGGGCGGTGCCCCAGGGCCGACCCCCACCGCCTCCTGCCCACCCCATCGGAGCGATCGGATCCCCTTCGATCCTGTCTCCAGCCCCGGGCACGGCACTGCTGGCAGGAGCAGCTCAGCCCTAATCTGTAAGCAAACATCTCCCCACCCGGTGCCGTGCGGGAAAGAAAACAGAAAAATGGCTGCCCTCGGTGCTTGTGAATGTCAATTTGCTTTTTGGGGCTTTGGCAGGAGATGGATTTTTAAAAGTCAGGATAAGGGCACCGCACCCTACGCAGCAGATGCCTCCTTAAAAAAAAAAAAAAGGTATGTAAATCAATTCTATGCGTCAAAACGACTCAAGTGCACTCGGTGGAGCTATTTTAAGTAACGCTGTAGTAAATTATCCAGCAAAGTCAAGAGTCACTCCCGCACTTGTTTGGTAAGTCTGGGCTTCCTTTTTTTTTTTTTTTTGCCACTTCAAGGAAAGAATCTCTAAGATGCAAATACGGTGCAAGTGTTAGGAATGCACACTGGTTAGTGGCCCCCCCCACGCATCCCACGTCCCCTCCCCCGGGGAGGACCAGCGGGCCTCGGCGGGATGCTCAGTGTGGGAGGTGCCTGACATTTCGTGCGGCTGCCCTCTCACAGCCGCCCCAGGAAAGGTGGCCACCCCATCTTACAAGCGAGGGGATCAAGATCGGAAGGGCTACCTCATCTGTGGGAGAGCTGGGGGTCCGATTCCAGTCTCCCCCGAACTGACACTATCACGAGGGCAACAGTCTCTGAATGCTCAGAGGCCCCTGGATGGGAACTCTCTCTAAGGGACTTTTTAAAATCTGTGTTCACCCTGAAAGACTTTGCAGAGATGGTTCTCGTTAGCCAAGGAACCACTGTCTCTGGATCCAGGATGCTCTGGGAACAGGGTGGGAAGGGGGCCCTCTGCCCTTCTTGTTCGGCTGAGCCTGGAGGTCGGTGAGGACCGAAGAGGCTAGGAGCTCCCTCTCCCATCTTGGGGTTCCATAAAGAACACCACCACCAAACTAGCATCACCCGGAGGAGCCTCCTTCTCCCAAGAACCAAAATCAAGGAGGGCACGAGTCCCAGGAGCCCACTGCCAGCATCTCCCCGGAGATCAGAACTGGCTCTCTCGACTCCGCCCTCTGCTGGGCACAGCAAGCTCGCATGGAATTTATAGGAAGCATCAAAAATCAAGACGAAACCGGTTGGGCTCAGTGGATAGAGCGTTGGTCTGCAGACTGAAAGGTCCCAGGTTCGATTCCGGTCAGGGGCATGTATCTTGGTTGCAGGCACATCCCCAGTGGGGGGTGTGCAAGAGACAGCTGATCGATGATTCTCTCTCATCGATGTTTCTAACTCTCTATTCCTCTCTCTTCCTCTCTGTAAAAAAATCAGTAAAAAAATATATTAAAAAAAAAAATCTTCCCAGGAAGTCTTAAAAACCATTTCTCAACGCTGCCCCCAGCCTAGGATGCCGAAGCTGGGCAAACACCGAGGGGGCTGCCTGCTCTCTCCCTGGTCCGGGCCCCGCCGGGCCTGGAGGACACCACCAGGCCATGTCCTAGCACCTTCCTCAAAGGCGGGAGCCCGGCCTCTGTCCGCCTCAGGGAGACCGGGTCTGCGCGCCACCCTTACCGTCCATCTTCACAGTTATAAAGACGGGCTTGGAGGAGATCTCCGCCTCCTTCTGCCAGGAGCCCGTGGGCGACTTCACCCAGGGGGCCACGGAGCAGTAGTAGTTGCCGAAGTCCTGGTCCTCGGCGCCGTGCACCTGCAGCAGGAACTCCAGCACGCCCATGCGCTCCAGGCTCAGGCTGCTCTTCCAGTCCCTGTGGGCCGTGCTCACGATCCCCTTGCGGTCCAGCGAGGACAGGAGGACGGGATCCTTGTCCAGGCCGAAGGAGTGCACCACGAACCAGGACACGTCGAAGGCCATGTCATCTGTAAGCCACAAGCCAAAACCCCAGGGTCAGAAATAGTCTGGCACGCATGTCGCCTGACGACAGGCTGGCACTGCTCTCTCCCTGCTCCTCGCCGAATCCTCACGCCAACCCTGCGATGGAGGTGCTGTCGCGCCCCACGCCCTATGGAGGGACCAAATCCCCCCACAAGGTCACACAGCCAAGAGGCAGCAGCGCACGTGTCCCTCAGGGAGGCCAGCCCGGAGTGCCCTGCTTGACCTTGTCGCTGCCACCATATTAAAAATAAAAACATATTAAAAAAAAATGTGTTTCCAATTCATCTGACAGATGCATCCACGCACAAATATTTCTTAAACACCCACTGAGACCTGAGCTGAGCCGTTTGGGGATATGCAGATGACCCAATCCTTGAGGTGCACGTCTGTGCAGCGTCGTGGGGATGATGCGGGAGACATTGACAAAAGGCCCCGTGGGGAAAGGGTGAGAGAAGTACCTGGGTCCAGGGCTGCTCCTTCGACAGTGACGATGCAGAACAATTTGACCAGGTCTCCCCGGGTGACGGAGGGCGTGTCTGAGTACACGGAGGCATTGAATACAGGACCTGGAAGAGAGTGATCATCATCATCCCCTTTCACAGTGCTCAGTCCTTCAAGGGCCCAGGCCTTTTCCGAGAGAACACAAGACGACAGAACCTACAGAGATCCTCACAGAGGATTTAGGTTTTTATTTGCTTCATTTGAACCAGCAAGGAAAGATTCACCTAATCTGGACAAGTTTCCCGTTCTTTTCCTTCTATGACCAGAGAAAGCCCCAAAGGCCTGCTAGGTCACCAGTCCCGGTCCTCACGTGGCCACATGGCCTCGTGGCCGTGGCTGTGGGAACAGCGGAGCGTTTGTGCTCCGGCTCTCCAGGCCCGCACGGACGGGAAAGGCCTTCCTGGGGAATGACTCACACGGCGGGTTTCCTGCTAATGAAACCAGCCACTCGCTGTTAATGTGGGCCATTATCCCCGGCTTGGAAATGTTTTTATTGCGGCCAGTTTCTGTGGTGATGCTGTTTTTGCAAGGGGACTTGTCTGGTTCACTTCAAGATGACAGGCTGGGCCAGTGAGCAACCAGAGTCACTAGGTGTCCCCTGATTCCTCGTCTGCTTGGCTTTTAAATAGAAACATGGGTGCAAATCATCTTTGTGACTCCAGCCCCCAGAAGAAGGCTGTCAGCGGTGGCATTTTGGTGAAAGGCAAAACTGCAGACCAGCTGCACAACCATCCAACGGGGTGACCGTGAACCACATGCTGGGAGGTAGAGTCATTAAAGCTGGTGTTTACCTAGGACGTGTTATAACATGGGAAGTGTTTACTTTATAATGTTCAACAGGGGGAGAGCAGGTCATAAAACTGTATGTTCAGTATGATCTCAGCGTCATGAAGACAACGTACCAGAGAAAACTCTAGGAAGATAAAGGCTACAAATCAAGTTTATAGGTGAGTCTCTTTTCCTTCTTTCTAGTGTACTGTGTTTTAACATATTCTCTATTGAGGAGAAAACCATCCTTTCCCCCAAGAGAAGGCTGTGACTCAGTAGAGCCCCAGGGGAAACGCAGTCCTCACACCAGGAGACAAGTGGCCTGAGACCAGGGAACAGAAAGGTGGACACGAGGAAGGACGTCCTTGCTGTATGTGCTGCTGGTTGCAAGAAGTGATAGCTCTTGCCTGGCCAGCATGACTCAGTGGTTGAGCATCGACCTATGAACCAGGAGGTCATGGTTCAATTCCTCGTCAGGGCACGTGTCCAGGTTGTGGGCTCATCCCCAGTGTGGGGCGTGCAAGAGGCAGCCGACTAGTGATTCTCTCTCATTGATGTTTCTCTCTCTCTCTCCCTCTCCCTTCTTCCCTGAAAACAATAAAATATATCAATGAAATATATATATTTTATATATACACACACACACACACACACTCACACACACACACACACACACACACACACACACGCTATTCAGGGCTATAGCATTGTGGATACTGACTACAGCTTCTCTCACACTGTGAACTGGCCATGACAACTCCAGGGATTAAAATAAAAACCTTAGTCAGTCTATTCATCCTGGAAGCTACAGTGATTTCTTTTTTCTTCCTGTTATGCTGAGACAGGAATTGAGAAATAAATTCAATACCCATTTCTTACCCAGAAATACAAAAGACTGTATGTCTCCCCTAGTCCTCGTAACAGTTTTAAAGAAACATCAAATAAGAAATGTAAAGCAAGATAAAGTTCTATAGACAGTAAAATAGACATACAAATAGAAAGAAAAAAAAAAACACAATCATCTTCATCTTAATAGATATGAGAAAGCATGTGAAATCACCTAACACCTCTTCGTGGTAAAAACACTCAACAAACCAGGAATGAAAGGAAACTTCCTCGATTCAGTTCAGGACGTCTATGAAAAACCCACAGTTCCCATAACACTTAACGGTGAAAGCCTGAATCTTCCTGGCTGGCAAAGACCAGGAACAGAATGTCCATTAAAGCCCTAGCTGGTTTGGCTCAGTGGATAGAGCGTTGACCTGCAGACTGAAGAGTTCCAAGTTCGATTCCAGCCAAGGGCACATGTCCGGGTTGTGGGCTTGATCCCCAGTAGGGGATGTGCAGGAGGCAGCCGATTAGTGATTCTCTCTCATCAATGATGTTTCTATCTCTCTCCCTCTCTCTTCCTCCCTGAAATCAATAAAGAAATATATTTTTAATAAAAAGAAAGAAAAAAAAAAATGTCCATTAGAGCCACCACTATTCAACTTTGTATTAGAGGTTCTAGCCAGGGCATTAAGGCAAGAAAAAGAAACACAAGGTATTCAGTTTGGAAAGAAGGAAGTAAAACTGCCTTTATTCGTAGACAGCATGATGTCCTATTTTTAAAATCCCAAGGAATCAACCAAAGAAATAGAACTCATAAATAATAAAAGTACCCAGGACAAACCATGCAGAGCACGGAGGCTGAGAACCTGCCCCAGAGCGGTGGTTCTGGAGCCCTGGCTTAGACCACAATCACCAGGAGGCAGGAAAGCTGTGTGTGTCCCCTCTAGGGGAGTGTGGTTCAGTAGGTCCAGTGGGTCTAGCATTGCAGTCCCATCAGGTTCCCAGGTGAAGTTGCTGCTGGTCTCAACAGTCCTAGGTTGAAAAAAGGCTACATCCCTCCGTGAGCAGAAGTGAGGTTCCAAGCATACACTCTAAACGGGTAAATCTATGGCACAGGAAATGTAATCTCCACAAGCTGTTAGAAAAATAAACAGCCGAAACCGGTTTGGCTCCGTGGATAGAGCATTGGTCTGCAGACTGAAAGGTTTGGGTTTGATTCCGGTCAAGGGCATATACCTTGGTTGCGGGCACATCCCCAGTGGGGGGTGTGCAGGAGGCAGCTGATCGATATTTCTGTCACCTTGATGTTTCTAACTCTCTTACTCTCTCCCTTCCTCTCTGTAAAAAAAAATCAATAAAATATATATATTTTTAAAAATAAATAAACAAAGCCCACGGGTTTCTTCCAGCCCCACCTCCGGTCCCACAGGGTTCCCCGCTCACCTGAGGTTTGGAAGTCTATCTCAATGGGATTGGAGAGACTGGTCGCTGCTTCTCGCCACAGGCTGCCCCTGACGGGAGACCAGGCCGTCACCAGGCAGCGGTACAGCCCTGCGTCCGACACCTGCGTCTGGTACATGCGGTAGCGGAACTCGTCTTCCTGCACTTTCTCCAGCACCACGCCGTCCACCCGGGAGGCGTCCGTCCAGTTCTCCAGCCGCACCACGGCGTCCTGGTCCAGCGAGATGATGTCCTTGGTTTCGTTGGGGCCGGAGAGGTGGCCCGCGGGCTTCTCGGCCGTGATGAGGACGGAGTAGCGCGGCGACTTGATGTTCTGGGAAGACACTTTGCAGGTCATCTCAAACGTGTTCCCGGCCGTGAAGAAAGGCCTGGGCTGCCTCGCCTTCACCACGAGCACGGAGTCTGGAAGGAGGGAGCAGAAACAGGGGGCGGCCGATGGGACCAGTTAACGTGGATGTGGATCTGAAAGAACGATGTCAAGGAAACAGGAACTTATTTGCAAACGGCCACACAAAGGCACTTGAGACAACGTGGAAACCCAGAAAATCACGTGATGCTGTGGGGGAAGAAAAGCAACCTGAAGGGACTTATCAGGCGTGAGGGAAGCAGATCTGATGGGTGGGAATTTAGTTTTGAGGCTTGTCCAGCCCTTAAAAAGAGTAAGAGTGTGAGTAGCCATGGGTACCCACCCCCAATCCTATAAGGATGGGAGGGAGAGCTCACTCTTAGGGAATGGGAATATAGTGTCAGCCTGCAGACTGAAGGGTCCTGGGTTCGAATCCAGTCAAGAGCACATACCTGGGTTGCGGGCTCTATCCCCAGTGGAGGGGCATGCAGGAGGCAACTGATCAATAATTCTCTCTCATTATTGATGTTTCTATCCCTCTCCCTTCCTCTGTGAAATAAATTATATATATATATATATATATATATATATATATATATATATATATATATATATATGAAAGACTATTGTGAAATAAAAAAGAGTAACAGGTAGGCAAGGAGGCATGGGAAACAAAAAGATAGAAGAGACGGGAGGTTAAGGTTAATTTAAGTTAAAAAAAAAAAAAACACACACACCAAAACAGGAGATCTAACAGCATGCTTACAAGCCAATGGAAAAGGTCCAAAAAGAGAGAAATACAGGAGACACAGGAGCGAAGCCACGTGCCCGAGTCATGAGAGGTCGCCTCACTGTGAGCTGAGCGCGGGGGAGGGTGTGACAAGTCCCCTGATTGTTTCCGTTTGTTTGGGGCCGGGAGAGCAGGCCCAGGAGGGAGGGGGAGCTGAGGGGAGCTGGGGGAGGCGTTCCCAGATAAAGGGATATGTAGTCATCGTGTGGAAGAGCAGGGAAGTAAACAGATTAAGGGAACGTGGATGATGCCCAGGGAGTGCTGAGAGCCCACTAGACATGAGTGATGGCAGATCTAATCTAAAAGGAGCCAGTCAACATCCTTCAATGCTTTTCTCCAACCGCATCCAGCTCCGCAGACGCAGAGAGGGAGGCGGCAGAGGGCTGGCTCTGAACCGGGGTGTAGCTGAGCCAGAGAACGGTGCCAACAGACAGTTAAGGGGGTGTGCGGGGAGTGACTGTGATAGTCTGGGAACCTGGGCGAAGTAACAGCAGGGTGGCTTCTAACTTATCAGACCTCGCACCCCTGGACATGTCCAAGAACGAAGAGGGTCTGTTAAAAATGACACCGGCCAAAACCAGTTTTGCTCAGTAGATAAGAGTGTCGGCTTGCGGACTGAAGGGTCCCAGGTTCGATTCCAATCAAGGGCATGTACCTTGGTTGAGGGCACATCCCCTAGTTGCAGGCACATCCCCAATAGCTGTGCAGGAGGCAGCTGATCAATTTTCTCTCTCATCGATGTTTCTAACTCTCTATCCCTCTCCCTTCCTCTCCATAAAAAATCAATAAAATATATATTTTTAAAAATGACACCGGACCCTGGCCAAGAGGCTCAGTTGTCTGGAGCATCGTTCCACACAACCAAGGGTTGCGGTTTGTTTCCCGGTCAGCATGTGTTCAGGAGGCAACCCGATCGATGTTTCTCGCTCTCTCTCTAAAACCAATAAACATATCCTGGGGTAAAAGGCTGAACAACAACAGCAAAAGGACTCAGAATAACAGGTACAGAATGGACTACCCTGGGCAAATGGTCACCCTCCATAAGACAGAAGTGAGGACAATGGGAGCGGAGGACAGTGCAGGGCGGTAAGATTCACGGACTGTCCGTCCAGCAGGGCAGAAGAGTTGATGCTGGGAGTCTAGAGAGAGCGCTCTAGAAAGGCGGCAGCGGTGTGCACAGAGAACAGGGCGTTGGAAGCTGAAGAGAGCAGGGAGGTCGTTAAGTTATCAGAAGAGAGATCGTCTATTTTGGGTGCGAGCAGGGGCGTGAATAACAACAGGACGGAGAGAAGGACAGGGGGCTGAGAAAGAAAAGCTTATCTATAGTGCGGCCCCTCCATGTGCCTGCACCCAGTGGGAACTCAATGTGCCTGCACCCAGTGGGAACTCGTGGGTGCAGACACTCCCAAAGGCCCGTCTGAAGTTGGGCTCGCTAGTAAGACGTGCCCAGTAGAGCAACAGTGTCCATGGCTGACCCCATGCATGCTGTGAGTGCCTCGGAGACAAGTCCCCGCCACCGACCATGCCCAGCCCTCTCACGAGGGCTTACGCTTGCCAGCCTCACCGCCCTCTAGGGCGGGGTGCTGCGGAGGGAAGCGGCCGTCAGGTGAGCATGCATTTCTTGGATTCCTCATATACATGGAAGCCTGCGGGGTGACTGTGCATCTGAAGCCATGCAGGGGGATGACCGAAGCCAAAATGAAGGAAGGAAGGACAGAGAACCAGGACCGAGCGCCTACCTTCTGAGGGCCAGAATACGTGGACAGGCTTGGAGAAGACATCCCTGCTCTTGGCCCAGCTGCCGTCGCGCTGTCGGGTCCAGGCGGACACCACGCAGTAGTAGCTGCCCCTGTCCTCCTCCGTGGTCCTCTGGATCCGGAAGCTGAACGTGTCTGCGCGCTCCTTGGAGAAGATGAAGTCTCCGTCCCGGGCCCGCTGCTGGCTCCTCTCCCCGTACCTGAGCGTCCAGTCCGCGTCCATGGCCGCGAGGAGCTCGCTGGCCGCCGAGTCGTCGTTGCGCCGGCTCAGCCCGTAGTACCAGGTCACCGTGACCCGCACGCCCCCCGCCAGGCTCCTCTGGTCCGCCACCCGGCACTGCAGCTCCGTGAGGTCGTCGGAGAACGCGGGCACCTTGGAGGCGTTCAGGTACACCTGGTAGTCTGGTTCTGCACCAAAGGGAGAGGGACAGGGCTAAGCCAGGGGTCGGCAAACTCATCCGTCAACAGAGCCAAACACCAACAGGACAACGACGATGGCAATTTCTTTGGAGAGCCACGTTTTTTAAACATAAGCTTCTTCGAGCGCCACGTCTTCAACATAGACCCGCCCAGGCCGTGGTATTTCGTGGAAGAAGCCACACTCAAGAGGCCAAAGAGCTGCACGTGGCTCACGAGACGCAGTTTGCTGACCGCGAGGCTAAACAATCAGGCAGCGGCAACATCCCAAGACTCAGCGAAAGGAACGAGACGCATACCCCTCTTGATCTGACAATTTAAATGCTTCTCCTGCCCACAACAGAGACAGAGAGGAAAGTCCTTGCATTGGACGGGAAGGGTCCAGGAAGAGCTGTTACCGCAAAACGTGTACAACTCTGTCCCCGAGAACACTTCCAAAGCCAGGAGCCGAATGTCCCCATCAGAGCCTGGATCTGCGGTCAGGTTCCCCAGGAGCCCGGACTCCCTGGAGAAGGATCTGAAAAGCTTGGTGTCCACACTCTGCCAAGATTTCCCTCCCGAATGCCAAGCAGTGTCCACAGACCCCACTGGAGCGGCACCGGAAATCCCAGTCCCAGAGGACATTCTAGCACTTGAGACCAACCCACCCCACCAGATGGAGGCCCTCCAGGCCGCCCCCCCCTCTGTGGTCTCACCCTCACTTTACGGGTCCCTGGACTTCCTCCGCTGAATCTGCTCCACAGTCAATAAACACACCGTCTGCAAACTCCCAACGCGCATGCTTCTCACGGCCGCGTGGAACGCGCCCACATAACGGTCGACCTTGCAGAGCCTGGCCCGCTGGGGCCTCGACCCCTGCCAGGCCCCAATCTGACAGGGAACAGGGGGGAAGCCGGCCTTCTCCTACCGCCCCCATGGCCGTGGTCGCAGTCCTGTTCTTTTATAAAAACCACTCCCCCTTCTGAGGTTCGTGACATCGATTTCATCCTTTTCTGCAACTCCATGTTTTCCCCGAGCCCTTCCTCCACACTAGCCAAGGAGGGGATATTAGAACCCCCTCGCCACCTCCTTCCCTCTGTCCCTACCCCCAGGCACCTGGAGTCCCCCAGTCCCCATGGTCTCACACCTCTGTGGCGGCCTGCTTTCAGGCGCTTCTCCTCTGGACTGCCCTGCAACCCTCCACTCAGTCCTCAGCATCACCTTCCCTGCTTAGTGTCCCCAGAATGTGATGCTCTCTCGCCATGCTCCCACAAGACAGGCACGTGACCTTGGGTAGCAGTAACCCCACTCTGTTACACTCCTTGCTTCGGGCTGATCCCCAAGCTCCACACACACAACCTCTATGCAGTCGGCACTCAGTAAACGTTTGCTGCTTCCATGGTAAGGCGTTTAGAAAAGGCTGTATTTTTCTTTCGTAGCCCTTTGCCTCCTGGGCGCTGGGGGGGGGGGGGGGGGGTCACTCTACCTAAACAGAAGTTTCCTTTGCCAGCACCACCTTTATTCCCCTGAGTCCGACAGTGTCGTTTTATTTCACGTTGTTTTTATTTATGACTCATTCAGATTATAAACTGCTGAGGTCAAGGAACTGTTCCTTTTTGATTTACGCTTCTAATGAAATGTGTAACATCAAGCTTCTCCAAGAACGATTCCCCAGGCCAGGCAATGGATGGAAAGAACTCAAAATCCTAATTCCATCTCCATAAGCACTGAGCTGGAAGGGAGATTGGACCCTGGGCCTTGGGAAGTTAAACCATCGCCCTGCCATGAGGTGGCTTCTGGGACATTACACTGCCTCCTCATCTTTCAGACAAGTCGCTCGCTGGGGGTTCCTGCATCCCGGGCAGCGAGGGCTGACACACCACACTGCCTCCCTAGCGACAAGGGACTGCAGAATAAATACCACCAAAATGTATTTATACCTTCACGTGCATAAGCTTAGGCATTCCCACATACCCCACATCCAGGTTTCACACCCTTCCTCGTGGCAGCTTCTGGCATAGCCTATGGCTGGAGTGCAGACAAGGATAACACATGGACAGGACAGGCCGGAACTGGCTGTGCACAGAGCCAGATGCACTCTCAGCTCCGCTCTGGGCCGACTTGGGCCGCGCCAACATGGGGAGGCCTCGGGAAGCTCTTTACTGAGCGAGTGGTCTCCTCCTTCTCTGCTGAAATGAAATCGTAGGGTCCTCCAGAGGAGGACCCTAATGCAAAGACAAACAGGAACCAGTGAACTTACAAAGGATCAGTGCTAGTGATTAAAAGCAGCGGTCGCCAATCTTTCGGACGCACCACCCGTGGTCTGCTGATTTAAACTTGAATGACACACCAGCCTTGAAGGTTGTGCGAGACTTGCACTCTTAGAGAAGCTATGACCCTACTAAGTTAGAACCGTCGTGAGAGGCCCTGGCCTCTTACTTCTCTCGTTGGGTGCATGGATGGAAAGTGTCCTCTATTGCTCTGTTTCCCACACCCCTCATGCACGTACCTCACCTCTCCTTCTAACAGAGAATTCTTCCCTTCCGCTCACCTGGCTGTCACACCCCAACTTCTTACTCAACAAACGTTCACAGACACCCTTCCACCCGCCCGGCTCCCTGCTCTCCCAAGGCGGTGCGTGGACACGGCCTTGAACTCTGGTTATGTGTTTTATGGACCTTCCTCTCAGGGCCAGGGCTACCTACCCATTCAAACACACGTGCTGCGCACCCAGTGCCCTGTTCAGAAGAGATACTGCTGCTCTTGCTGAATCAAACTGCATTTAATATTTTGCATAAAAACGCTCATTTTGGGCAGAAACATTCCACCGCTGATTACCGCTGCATTCTGCTTGATCTCATCAAGAAATCTGCTAAGAGAGCCATGGTGGTTCTGTTTAAAAATGCCTATCAGTTGGAGATGCCTACTGAAGAATTTAGTGGTAAAATGACACGCTGTCTGGCATGTACTTTAAATTCTTCCCAAAGGGGGAAAAAAAAGTGTGTGTGCGCGTGTGTCTGGGGAAGGGAAGAGATGAAATGAGATTGGCAAAATATTGATCATCACTGAAGCTGGTGGTTCTTTCTCCTCCTGTGTACATTTCTCAGGCAATTCCAGTCCAATAGCACCACTTGTGAGCAAGTCCTCTCTCAACACAGAGGCCGAGGAGTGGCACCACCCACATTCCAACAAGCAGGGGTCTGCCCCCTCCTCTGGTGCCCTGCTCACATGCACACCGCCTCCTGGAGCCATGGCCTCCGTTGCGAGGAGCCCCCCTCAAATCAAAGACCACAGTCTTCGCATAGGGGCCGTGAAACTCCTTTGTTACAACTTTCAAAACAACGGGAAGCTCTCAGAATCACTGGCCGAGTTATAAAAGCAGACATTTTGTGCCTACTGTATGCAGGGGCCTCGCTGCAGGTTTTCACAGGTCACCTGTGTGCACGCTCACTCACAATTCGATAAGGAAGGTATCGTTGTCCCCATGTGACAATGACAATGGCATGTGACAATGACAAGGACAATGACATGCATTCATCGACGGCTTCCTCCAGGCCAGGCTCCCGCCATGCCACGCACTCTCCCCACACTCTTGCTTACTCTTCACAGCGACCATATGAGACAGACACTCTTTTCATGTGCATTTCCTAAATGGAAACCAAAAGACACTCTCCAAATACAAACGAGCTAAAGAACTGTGCACCTGAACCCCGCATCGGCCAATACATTCAAGAAGAAGAAAAACAAAACCAAAAAATACCAAAGCCCAGAGGCGTTACGTTCGAAGAGTCCAGCCTGGCACAGGATGTGTGAGCAGAATTCCAGGCCGGCTTTTGGCTCTATGGTCCTCCCACTGGGACCAAATGGCGCGACCTTAGTACACACCCCAGTTAGGAACACTTTCCCAGAGCCCGCCGCGTCCCAGAAGGCGAGAGTGACGGTGAACAGCCCAGGCGCTGATCCGGACCATGGACCACAGGGCCATGCTCGAATGTCCAAGGGAAGCGCCATGAACGTGGCACAGCTCATCAGAGGAATAGGCCGCCTGCCTGGCTAGAGGACACGGGAGCGTCCTCCTCTCTGCTGGTGGGGTTTCGTTATCTTGCATCAGAGGCCGCTGAGCGAGGTGACCAATGGTTAGAAGAGTTGCCACCGTCACATTTGTATAGAACGAAGTTCTCCAGTGTTTACACCGACACTATACAAAAGAAGGGGCTCTTGTTTTGAGAGGACCCCTGACCTCTCTGTAGTGTAGGACCATTATTCTGAGGTTGTATTAAGAGGTAGCCGTGCCAGAGCCAATCATTTGAATGGTTCAGCCATGTCCCCCACACAATGTAACACTCATGTGGTTTTGCTCTGTTCATCTTCACTCCACTCCTCCCAGAGAAGAGTGAGTTACTAGGTTTGGGGGCGGGGCCAGGAAAGGGACTGGGGGTGGTCAGCTCAACCCCCTCTTCTTGGGAGGGGTGCCTCAAGGACTCACACATTCCTGGTTCCTCCATGCCCTGAGACAGGCTCCTGGGTCTTCCTTGGTGAAGACCTTGGTGGGGAAGAGCATGTTACACAATGACACCCCTCCGACCCCAACCCCAATAAATGATCACCGCCACCATGAAGATGTACTGAGCATGTAAGTACCAGGCACTGTGCTCAACACTTATTTATTTATTTATTTATTTACTTTTAAATATATTTTATTGATTTTTCACAGAGAGGAAGAGAGAGGGATAGAGAGTTAGAAACATTGATGAGAGAGAGTCATCGACCAGCTGCCTACCGGGGATGTGCCTGCAACCAAGGTACATGCCCTTGACCGGAATCGAACCCAGGACCTTTCAGTCCGCAAGCCGACGCTCTATCCACTGAGCCAAACCAGTGCCTGCTCAACACTTTTTTAAATGTAGCGAAGGCAACCAAAGCTTAGAAACCTTAAGCGGCATACCCAAGATAGCACACCCAGAGGGTCTTAGAGCAAGATTCCAACACATCACCTATGACCTCTTCTGCCC